TACAAGTTTTAACAGAAGATGCCGAAAGGGCTAGAATAATATTGTCATATAGCTTATTAATTACTTTTCTATGACTAAGATTACTACATAGCTTATCACTACAATAACGAAATTCAGGAGGAAAGTCAATTTGTCTCAACCTGTCATGACATTCTCTCTGATACATTAATATTTGTTCATGTGTTCTTTCCCCCAAACCACTGCATTATTATAGTTATTTAAATGTATTCGTTTTCTAACAACCATATCTAAATTACACTCAATAACCAGCGGCATGTGATCTGACCAAAAAACATCATACATGACATACACATTTTGAATAGTCTTCGCCGCGGCTTTAGTTACTAAACAATGATCAAGCCACCGCCGTGACCCGTTAGCATCACTTACAAACGTGTACGTATCAGAAGTGACACCTAAGCATTCAATATCAAAGCAACACCATTCTTGCTCTCTTACAAAATTATCCATTTCATGATAAAAACGTTCATATGGATGAGCATTAAAGTCCCCTAAAATGTATGTATTTTCTATCGCACAACTGTCTATTATAGCACTTACCGAGCTAAGGACATCCGTAAACTCGGCTACATTTACCGCCTCGTCCGTGGGCATATACACACTTAGCACTAGGAATGGCTTATCATTTGAGATCACTTTAATCGCACACACACGCGGGTTATGACACTCAATCACTGAGACATTTTGAAAGATGCTCTTTCTCCAGAGCAGGGCAACACCTCCGTATGGCCGACCTCTTAGTAAGCCAGCCTCCGCATCCATTGACGATACCCCCGTGCCACTTAATTCTTGACTTATGGTACTAAGAAGTGGCATTTCCTCCGAGAATAACCATGTTTCTTGCAATGCTATAATATCGACAACTTTACACATATTACGTAAGTCATCGATGGACCGTTTTACGTTCTTACAATTGAAAGAAGCAAATTTATACGTTGGTTCCAGGTTCATAGTATTAACGTATGGAAATCGTGCTACCTTCCTTCATAGACATTTCAAACTTACGCTTTATTTTGAAGTGAATAAAGCGACGGAAAATGATGCCTTCTGGCCACATTCCATGATCCAAATAAACTGAAAGTTTTTTCTGTGAGACAAAGAATTTAAAAGCATTGTAGTCACAAGTGCGCTTTATGGAGATCTTTTCTAAGCTGACAGTGTCTCCAGTTTTTTTCCTTAATATAATTTATTATGTCCGACTCATTTGTACTTTTGTGGACATTCGTTATGAATAGAGGTGTTTTTCTTTCTGCAGCTCTAAACAATTCCTCCGAATTCACTGCCAGCGTACCCGTCTTTCCCTCCATTCGATTTCTATTAGGTTTTCTCCTTCTTTGTACAACTTTCCATTCTGAGTTGATGGAATTAGCGACAGCGGAGTAAGTCTTCTTATTTTCAGTGTCGTTAATAGTTTGTTGACGGTCTGCACTTAGTGAGTCATCACTACTTTGCGCCAAACCGGTTTCATTCACTCGAAGCGATAGATTCACTTGAGGCGATAAATTTCTAGTAGAGTTATTACCCGGACTAGAATAATCTTCATCATTATGCGCATTCCTATTGTTACCGAATGCACCCCTCTTCGTATTAACATTATTATTATAAGTACAGGGTGAGGGTACCGTAGTATTTTGCTTATTACTGCACAATGTTCTTAAGTTTTCAAACTGCTCAGTCGTGACATACGATGACTTGATTAATGCGATATCAGCCTGTACCCTGGACAAATCTTTTAATAGCTTTGAGACATCCAGGTGGTCGAAAGTTAATGGCGGTAGTTTATCCAGGTCGCGGGCCACAAAAATAGGCAAAACATCAGGGTCAGTAATTTTAATAAAACTGAGCATATCGTATAACAAACGATCTTTTTCCTTTCCTTTTCCTCTTCCCGTTTTTCTCACTTCGGCCGGTACCGATTCAAACAATAACGAATGCGATTTTTGAATTTGTTCCTTTGTGAATGTCGATGCACATATTTTTACTAATGTCACCTCATCCGATATCGATATTTTATTCTGTATATATGACAGAAGCTCATCGATTACAATATTGCAATTATTGCACTTAATTAAGGACGCCATCTTGCAGGGAATGCGCTCCCGCAACAAATCGCGCGTACGTTTCGTATCAATGCGCGCGCAAGACATTGAGCGCAGGAAAGCTGGAAAAACGTCGTTAAAATAAGAAGTGATAACATTGTGCAGACAGCAACGTGAACATCGCTATAAAGTATCTTTCGTATGTCGCCAACCGTTGTATTGGAAATATGGTGTTAATGGTGACGTCAAAGGTGGTCAAATGCTCAGTTCCCGCGAACACCCATGGCACGGACAACCCAACAGCGTGAGAAACCCATGTAACGAAATGAAAACTTCGATACTCAAATTCTTAAATTGATCACATTTATACACACGATGATTCTCATTACACATAAAACATGATCCATTTGGCGTAGATGAGAAAAAAGTTTTAATGTGTCTTGGTTCCTTACTACTAACAAACCTTTCATTTCTATTAACCTGAACTGCTCTAGAGCCGCCTTGGACGGTCTCTAAAATATCAGCACGTTGTCTTAAAAATTGGTAAAAATCTTCTAGTTCTATCGACCCACCAAGGTTCAATTTGTACTCTTCCCACTTAATGCTAGTTACACTATCTAGCTTTTGCACTATTATATAAATTACGAGACTATCCCACTTATCAGTGTGCTCACCAAGCGTATTTAAAGCCCTCAAATTCTTTGAAACATGATCTATAATGTACCTGAGTGATCTATGCAACTCCCTATTTAAAGATTCAAGGCTGAATAACGATTTGAGGTGGTTATTAATCAGTACGTTTTTGTTATTATATCTGTTACACAGTAGTTCCCATGCAACCAGATAATTTTCACTGGTAAACTCAATAGATTTTATCGTGACAGCGGCACCACCCTCTAGAGAGGACCTGAGGTAATGAAATTTGCTAATGTCAGGTAAAGTATCATTTGCATTGATGAGCGAGTCGAAAGTGTCTCGAAATTCCAGCCATTTCAAGTAATTTCCATCAAAAGTTGGTAATTTTATTGTTGGCAATCGAATTTGATTATTTAAGTGGCTATTATTATTGGTATTACTGGAATTACTTACAAGAGAAAGTCTATGCTGGACAGCCTCGTCGCGCTCATCGCGTTTTGACACTATTTCCTGGGCACTAGACATGACCGCGAAGAACTGGCTTTCAATATCGATTCTCTCGTGCAACCGTTTATCTAAATTACTTTCTAAATCTAATTCTTCTATTTCAGATTAGACCTTTTCAAAGTCTGAAAACAATTCCTTTATTTTGGTTAGTCTCACATTAATATCACTTATATTTTTTGACGTAATGTTATCGATTTCAATTTGTTCGATAACCCCGAGAAAATCTTTGAATACGGTTAATCGCGCTTTAATTGTACCACGTTTACGAACTAACAAAGCCAGTTCATCCCGGTCCGACAGTTTACTTTGAGCCATGATTAATTTGCAAATGATATAAAAGATGTGGGCAAGAATGTGCAATCAAACCAAAATCCGTTGAGGCGAAGCGGGTAGACCCAGCGCTGCACAGCGGCCGGACCGCAAGTATAGGTCTCGCGCAGCAACAAGCGCGCAGCGGAGAATGATCGCGCCCAACCTGGAATGTTCGTCGACTCGGCTAAGCGATGTGCAATAGATGCGCGTATTTAAGCGCGTGAAGTGATAGGGAAATTTGTGAACTAAGAAAAGGCTATAGTTGAAAATATTCAAATTTCATGCAAAGCGAATGAAAATAATAAGTGTTTAACAGTTACGGAACTCTAAATTCAAAGATTTATTATTTAACAATTGAAGAAAATAAGATTTTATGTTTGGGTAATTACGTAGGATCGTTACTTTATGTAACACTATTTTGCTATACTATAATTCAAAGGAAAATAGTACTGTATACATATGTATATGTATATACAGTTGTGACCCCTAGTTTGGGCCGTTAAATATCTATAACGCGCAAAGTTACTTAATGCAAACGTAAAGACAAAGGAAATAGTAAATATTGTACCCCTAGTTTGGGCAGTTAAATATCTATAACGCGCAAAAATACTTATTGCAAACGTAAAGACAAAGAAAATAGTAAATATTGTACCCCTAGTTTGGGCAGTTAAATATCTATAACGCGCAAAAATACTTATTGCAAACGTAAAGACAAAGAAAATAGTAAATATTGTACCCCTAGTTTGGGCAGTTAAATGTAGAACTAAACGTTAGTTTTACTTTTTTTTTAAACTTGTAGGTAGATTTCCGTAGTACCCGTTGAATGATTCTATACGTGTAACTCGAAATTTTAATCGACTATTTACTTGGAAAATAGACTTTAAAACAAGTAATTAACGCACTTTTTAGATTGACTCACGACACTATTTAACACTGATTGAAATCGATGCGAATCGGTGCAAGGGAAGTGATTAGGTAAGGAACGGGCTTACTTCCTTATGAATCTTCTGAATATATTCTTATGGTCTTCTGGACTTCACCGGCCCTTGGATGCAGACCGATGTCCTGTCACGGTCGCCAAATTTTGTCCGGGAGATGGATTGGCTGATGAATTTGCAATTGCAGCAATCAAACAAAACCTGGACTGGATTTAAATGTGTATTAAAATAAAATTCTTATTCGTGTCGCGCGCCGTGCGTCCGTAATTGTAACTGCCGGTCGGTCGCAGCCGCGGCGCCCGCGCCCCACTCCCGCCGGCGCAGATCATGTGCCGTGCGCGTGAACAGAATGAATAAGGGACGACAATTTTTAATATCATGTAAGAGGTCACTCTAAGACTTCACTAGTATTCTATACAAATTTTCCTCCGTAGCACCTTCTGCTGTTTTTTTATCATCGGAGCTGAATATTTTGCAAAGATGCCAAAACTTACAATTTTATTTTCCTCGACGTTATCACGTCGATAATATCATATTATCATAATTGTCAGATATTATCATATCTGACAATTATACAACTAGCCTTTTGAGTGCTGACATCAGTAGATTTATCAGACATAACACTGAATTTTGTTAGTTTTTCAGCTAGAGACGATTTTTCTCTTTCACCAATTATTTCGGTAGCTGTCATAGCTGTAGTTTTTGATCTTTTCATAGAAATTCTATGTTCTACTCCGAAATCTTCCAATATACCATTATTATCTGACATATGATCTGCAGCTTGAATCGCAATATTATGCTCAACTAGAAAAGCAGCCAACTTGTTTTCAGTCACTATAACAACTTGATTTTTGGGCACAACTCCTTTAGTCACAAAAGCTGACATGATATTACGCTGTTTTGTTTTGCTTGGTATTGCAGACATGGCTTTTATATGCTTTTGCCTTGAAGAGTGTATCTTCAAAACTCCGTATTCTGATACCATGTCGACGTCACAAATAGTGCACCTGGCTTCAAATAGGATTTTACCGGGCCCTAACCAGTCCTTAAATAAATGTAATTTTTCCCAATCGGGACGATACTTTTGTGTTCTGTGTTTCTCCCTCTCTGATGCAGAATTCTTTTTTGTAGTACCTTCACTTTCACTACCCATTCTTGCTTTAGCGTATTGAATTTAAACAAAAACACTAAAGACAGTATGAAGATCAATATCCTCTTTTAATCACTTAGAGCTCAAGACTGATGAGAAAAACAGATTTTTGAAAAATTCCGTTACAAGTCGTTACAAGAGAAAAATAATAATAATGATAATAAAAAACTTAACGATCTTACAATAAAGCGATTGACATAAATTATTTTTAGTTAATGGGATAACAAAACTATCCATAATAAATTAAAGTATGTATAATTAATAATAAAAATACCATTTATTTAACTTTTAGAAGTTCTTTTGTTCCGTCACCAAAACAGACACATTTCTGTTTGATATTAAAATTGAAGTAATTCCGAAAAAAATTACGCTATAACAAAACTTCGGAGTTGTATTAATACATGTTTTAATTAAGTAAAATAGTAACTTGTTTTTTTACAATAAGTGAAGATATACAAATCAGTCTTTATAACTCAAAATTTAAGTTGTTCATTGCAATACAGACATGATTGAAGACACATTTGCTCTACAGTGTACGGGAACTTAGTCTATATGACAGCAATATAAACTTCATATTGTTGAATTTAAATGTTTGCACAGACATTGTTGGTGACGAAGCGAAGAAATAAAAGAATATTTTCGTAAAAGTGCGGAAGCAGTGTCGTGCGGCGTGTAGTGTGGTCAGTTACCTCAGGCGAATGATCGAGACGTTAGCAAATCACACGCTCGCCCGGCCCCCGCCCCCCGCAGTTGCATCAAACTATTTATTAGCAAACTAAACAAATGACAACTTCATCGTGCACAGACATTAAAACAATTGAAGGGCTTTTTACAAAAACAGCAGCTTTTCTGCAGTTGAAGCAAAAAATCTTCTGGAATCTACAAATTTTCTCTTCTGTAACTGAATGTTACTCGGTAACACCTATATATTAGTTTGTGATATTTGAATACATTTTGACAATGATACTAGCTGCAGTTTTTTTTATGAAATCAAGATATATGTGCAGTAGTTATGTCCTTTTTGTAAAAAAAAAGTGAATTAAAACAGCATTCTGTGGTACTATTTCCTGTTTATTTTTAATAAAAACCTATGAAACTTAATAAATCCTTTACCTACAACTAATTTCGATCACTCTTCTCCACTACTGTTATCTTCTGGGTCAATATCTACATCAAGTAAAGTAAAATCGATGTCACCTTTCAAAATTTTGTTATAGAAATCACACTGCACTTCTGAAGACAAAAAACTTTTCAGCCTTTGTAAGCCTCTTTGGTGTTTTAAAAACCCATTAGCATTCCAAGCCATTATTTTTAAAGACATCATTGCTTAAGACGTTTAGAAGCTGCTATTTTGGTGCTGCTTTCTAGTTTTTGAAGTCTTTCATCAAAGGATGTCAATAATGAAAGTATGGTTAATCTTTTCATCTATGCCTGTCTCATTTTGTTGTGTTGAGGATAGTCTTGGGACCTTTAGTTACCTCAGCAAAGGAAACAGTCTTGGAAACTAATTTTGCTGGTTTTACAGATTTGACCGTTTCAGTCTTTGATTTGGATTTTAAGACGTTTTTCATTTTTTGCAATTCTTTTGCTACTACACAGCCTCTGTAATTAGCTGGGTGTGACTCACCACAGTGAATGCACTTCGGTTTCGCGTCTCGTGGCTTGTTACAGTCTACTGTGAGATGCTTTGCAGTACATTTTACACACCTCGGCTCCTTGGAGCAGTATTTCTGTGTGTGCCCATAAGCCTGACACCTCTTGCATTGGGGAATCAATTTCGGTGATTTCAGCGGCTGTACATTAATTTTGCAGCCAAAAAATTTAGTACTTAAATCAAATAAGTACTTTAAGTTTCTCAGGGTATGACAGACGATACGGATGGTATGCGACAGGTACGTCGTTCGTCAAGCTGATGTGCATTTTACCCGTCGTCACCGTCGTTGTTGCTGTACCGGATATTAAAAACGGAAAGAATTGTTCTATGACAGCCATCAACTTGGCAAGCTCCGCACCTTCGAGAGGCGTATTTATGTTGTCGAACCCGTTAGCATTCACAGCATTCACCCCTAGTACCCTATCTGGTGTGTGAGTTAGGTATTGTTCATGTTTCGTGCGAATAAACGTGACGCCATCACGATTGAGAACGTCTGTCCCTATTATGATCGGCGTATTCATATACGACGCAGGTACAATGAGAAAATCAACTTCAAGCGCGATATTACGTAGTTCGACTGTCAAAGTAATATATTCGCGGGCGACAAACTCTTTGTCACCTATTCCCTTCAAAGCACAGTTAATCGGTCTGCGTGGACCAGAAAAGTAGTTTACTACCGCAGATGATATCAAAGAAACATTGAGTGCGCCACTGTCTATTAAAATGTCGACGGGTATACCCTGGATTACGGCTGTACTAATGTCGTTGTTGTTCTTTGTGGCTAAAAGCTCTTTGCATAAATTCACTCTTCGCTGGTTACTATTATTACCGCTCTGAACCGCAGATCGAGCTTTCGCAAAGCAGTCACTTTCTCTGTGTCCACGCTTCTTACAAAAAGAACAAACCGGCCTATCATCAGTCTTTTCAGGTACATTTCGCTTCTTAGGGCACTTATCTCTAAAATGACCTCTTTCACCACAGACAAAACATTTATTTTCTGGTTTACTCGAACTACCAAAATTACGCTTCTTAGCTGCACTAGAATTGAACGATTTCGGCCTATCAGGGTTGCGATTATCGAATTTGCGGGCAGACTTAATATAGGTGGCTAAAAATGAGACGAGATTTTCTGTCGTTAAGTCGGCGTTAGTAGCTGCGGCGCGCACTTGTACAGCATTAATACCAAAAATCACAATTTGAACCATAAGTTCCTCGCTTAATCCATTTACAAGACGTAAACGCAACAACGAACGACGCGCGTATTCCGCGTATGACATAAATTTTTCTGACGTCGAGTTAATGACTTCGTGGAGAATTTGCGCGTAGTTTACCGTTTGTGGACACAAGGACCTAAACTCTCTAACGAAATTTGACCATGAGCGCTCGTTAGTAGCCCATTCGTTTAACCAGGCTTTTGCGTCACCTCTTAGGCAATTAGCTACTCGAGAGAAGCACTCATAGTCGTCCCAATGGTTCGCCCGTATAGCCCGCTCCACTTCGGCGCACCACACCCCAAAGTTATTGACAGCCGGATCAAAATTAGATACATAATAGTTTCTAGGTTTAGGCCTCGTTAACATACCTAAAGCTTCAACGAACGCTTGAGTAGCGGAAACGTTATTTTTATCAAGCGGAGGTGTGCTACAACGGACGGACGACGGTACGTGCGAGCCACTGGCCGTATTCTCCTCAATAGCAGTCAATCGCGACATTATTGACCCTAAAGCGTCTTTTACAGAGAGGGTTGGATCGAGTTTTACTAGTTCGACGACGTAAACCAACTGAGCGGGACCTCGACCTGTCGCATGAATATTTGTCACCAGAAAGAGGGCGATCACGGCCCGAACGAGTTATATCGTGTCGCGAGCGCGATCTATTATTGCGCGAGAGGAAACGGCGCGAATATGAGCGTGACCTTCCATGGCGCGAATGCGAACGCGACCTATCGCGACACGAACGTGACCTATCGCGATGCGAGCGTGACCTATCGCGACGCGAATATGAACGCACTGCATCATGACTTGAACACTGCCTACTGTATCGCACAGACCGCTTTCGACGGCTACACTCAATATCAGAGCGAGGCGGCGGCGTCCTAATTGATCGTTCACGGGAAGCACGTGGCATCTTATTCTTAAAATTAACGGTTGTTTGCTCGTTTGCAAGGCTTATTTGTGAGCGAAATCCTATCCCACTTCTGATTTTAGCAACCGGAAGTAATAATAAAAATAAAAATAAAAACAATTAGAAATAACCTAAGAAGTGATTTAACCAAAAATAACTTTATTAAATAACAAAACACGGTATATTCGAAAGCACACTAAATCTAAAGTATAAAAAAGCAGTAGAAAATATACAAAAAAAGTTTGTAAAATTCCTTAGTTTTAAAAAATACCAATGCTTCGATAGTTATGCACATTCTTGCAATTATTTTAATTTAGACTCATTAGAAAGTCGGCGAAGTCAGCAAGACCTGCTTTTTTTACATGCTATTCTTAATGGGCGGATCGAAATTTGCTGTCGTTAATTTCTTTTAAAATTCCTTCTCCATATGCGACAAGACACACAAAATTGTTCCATGTGCCTCGTACGAACTCGAATTACCTGCATAATTCACCAATGTTTCGGGTTTTATCTAACTATGACACTAATTATGAGGATATTGATATTTTCCACCTCACCAAAGAACATGTGAGAAAATATTTGAAGGGGCGGGAAGACTCGAATTTTGTTTAGGTTGTATTTGGTATTATTTATTGTTTTTAATATTAAATTTCAGTTTTCTGTATATATTTTTGTCTATTGATGCGCTTATTTGTTTCATTTTTCTTATATAATATTGTTTATCTATGTAATCTGTTTTGGCTTTTTGTATTGTATAAGTGTTTGTTTTGTAATATTATGTATGTTAGCTGTAAGATTACTTATAATTAAATAAATAAATAAATAAATAAATCTACCTTAAAATTAATCTTATAAAATCAAAACAACACGACTTAATTAATTAAACGAGTATTTTAAAAACAACCGTTAACCTTAAAACTATTACACCAAAATCACTGAATAATAGTAACATGGAACGAACTCACAGTATGCAGCCTCGATACCAACCACCTTACTTGTTTACGTCCGAGCAACAAATGAGCCCGTGGCACATTGAGGCCTTTCTTTTATAAAAGGCGGCTGGGTATCGAAACTACCTACTGCAATTTCTGCTTATAATATTTATTATTATTAAGCGTTTATTGCTGACACCCAGTACAATATAATAATACTTATTTAAGTTACATAGAAAACTTAATTTAATACGTCACTTGACCCGTTTTAGGTAGTCAGCGTGTCATGTGACTCATAGGCCTCTTCCAGCTGTAAGAAATAAAACAAACTAGAAACAACAGTATCGATTGATTTAAAAGACATCAGATCGCCTGGTAACAACATTTGTATCTGGAAGTTAATTTCGTCAACATCAACATTTCTGGCTGAAAATCGCCCGATGACTGAGCCAGTTATGATTCAAGTAATTATTCTGTACCGGAAAAATACTCTGAATCAATTCATTTTTATTCTGAAGAACAGTGCAAAAATTGTCTGGCAGTTTAATGCATTGCGTATTTGGTTGCAGTATATTTTACTACTACTTACTATTTTACCGTGCCCAATATCTAGTAATTATTCGGAAAATATTTGTGCTGATGGATCATTTTGCAATTGTACCCGCATGTTTATGGTCAATCGTAGTGTTCTAACACTTCGCCACAAGAATGATTGTTTCAAACATGCATTAATCTCATCCGAGATAGTAGAGCGAGGTATAATCGGTAAGGTCTGTCGAAAATCACCAGACAAAAGAAAGATAGCACCACCGAAAAGTTTATTATTTGCTGTTTAAATCTTGCATAGTTCTATGCAATGCTACGAGTGAATATTTGTGAGCCATTGTGCACTCATCCCAAATTATTATAGAACTGTTCCGCAATATTGCAGATATTTATTGCCGTTCGCCCACCATCCAGCAAAGTAGCCGCAATGCCTGACGATGCTACTGCCAATGTGATTTTCTGTTACGACCGTATCTTGGCAAGAATCAACTATATTAAAAATGTCTCACGGGTCCCACCGGGTGCGTCCAAGAAAAAAAACGCCTTGTTTAGCAGCAACAGCCAGCATAATTCGAACATAAATAATTTTTTGTTATGCTGTCAGTAATGGCTCATTGTTCACGATAATTGTTGCTAAATTTCCATGGTTATATTGTTTTCTGACCGTCTGGTCTGGGCTTAAGTCGGTGTCTGGGCGATCAGGTGATGGCATTTCATAAAGCCGATCGTCCACTGCCTAATAAAGAACTAAGCTCAGCTAAACTAGAACTACGTTGTCCGTCCTCCAATAAATTAGCTAAAATTACGTTAGCGAAGGCCAGTTTGTGCTAGAACGTCGAGTTAACCGGACGTGATTCAATATCACGTCCGACGCGTCGCCACGCCAGAAATCGGTTTTACGTGCGGCTTTGTTTAATAAACATGACGACGAAAATTTTAAGATGTACTATCGTGTATCTAGACAACAGTTTGATGAGTTACTTACAATTATTGCCAAGGATATTGCTAAGATTGGTCTCCATAAGGGGCCTGGACCAATTTTTGTCCAAGTCTCGCTCTGAATCCCGAAGGCGAGAATTTTTGCGTGACCCGTCGCCCTCCACTGTTGTGGTGAAGGCGAGTAAGAAGAAGGTGCGAAACACGCAGTTGGCCTTGTCCTCAAGCTGGGCGAGCGGTAGATGGTGGAGCAAGTGACTCGTTCCACTTTGGAACGCCAATTGCGGAGTGCACGTCGGGAGGTTAGGCGCAAAGAAAAGTTGGATGTCTCCGAGGCCGCCTCAGGTGCTGCCTTAGAGGCTGAGAGGGCAAATGATATAAACGACGTAGTTTTTAAAGAGGTGCCTGAACTGAGGGAACGAATTCGGGTTCGCCGCATTGTGGAAATTAAGGCTAAGTCGAATAACTTGACTTTGTTCGAGACCTCAAGGTCGCAGCAAAAGAGCTGAGTGAAATAGTGGAAAATCTTGCTGAGCGGTGCTTGGAGGGTGATGAGGGACGGCGTCTCGAAAGAAATAATATCCGGCTGAGGGCACGAGTGTCAGACCTTGAGTCAGAAATTGGTGCCCTCAGACGGGACTTTACCGAGCGTACAGCCCGCGCTGTAGAACAAGAAAGGGAAATGATGGCTCTGAGAATGGAGGTGTCGGGAGGTATAAACAAGCAGTCGGATGAATTAGCGGGTTTATCGGTGAATGGAATCCGCGAAATTATGGCGGGGTTCGTATCAGAAATAAAAGGGGAGTTGTTGGCCGATATCATGCGGGCGGTGGGAGGCATGATGAATGCTAAGCTCGATGGAATTGGAGATCGCCTCCTCCTGAAGCCGACCATTCGTCCTCCACTGGCGGCTTCGCGGGTGGTGGATGTGGGTCACTTTGGCGGAGTCGAGGGGTCTGCTGCGCGGAGGGGGACATATGAGGTAGGCAATGTTGCTATGGAGGGGGTGACTGAGAATTGGTCGACGGTGACGGGGAAAAAGGGAAAGGGAAAGAAATTAAAGGCGGTCCCCGCATCCAAACCCTCTTGTGGGACATCTGGTGTGGCGTCCTCTACAACGCCCCTGGTGGTGGCAGTGCCACCTGATCCTTTGAAGCTGCCAGTTGGAGGACAATCCTAAGCACAACCTGGTCTGAGGCAACAGGGTCTTCGGGGTGCAAAGTATGGGCAGGTTGAACGCAGTACTGCGCGGGTGCTCGTGGAGCCTACCACTGCCGCAGTTGTTTTAACTTTGCGGAAGGAGGCGGCAGAGAGGGGCCACACGTACGCCGCCCTTTTGTCCAGAGCTAAGCAGGACATCAGCCTATCAGGTTTGGGCATTGAAAGGGTAGCCTGCGAACAACTGCTACAGGGGCGCGGATGCTAGAGATCCCGGGTTCCCAGAGGGGGGAAAAGGCCGACCGCCTTGCGGAGTGCCTTCGGGAGGTGCTGGCGGACGTGGCTCGGGTGGAGAGACCTGTCAAATGTGCGGATCTTTACATCCGAGACCTTGACAACAGCGTAACCGTTGAGGAGGTGATGACAGCCGTGGCAGCTAAGGGTGGTAGCTCTGCTCACCAAATTAAGCCTGGGCAAATTCTTGGGCGTGGCAATAGTAGTACTTAGGCTGCCAATACGGGAGGAACGACTGGGAGCTAGACAGTAATAATAATAATAATTTTATTTATTTATTTACAGCCTTATATCAGAAATACAAAATATATACATTATAACTGTTATTTTTCTTAATCTACGATAACTGATTCTGTGTGCCTACGGGCAAAGGCCTCCCTCATTGTCCTCCATTTTTCCTTATTGTATACCAATCTCGTCCAGGTCTTAGTCTTTCCTGCCATTTCCATGATTTCATCGGCCCACCTTTTAAATTGCCTACCCTGTATCTTTTATGGCCTCTTGGTTGCCGTAGTGTTACAATTTTGCTCCATTTATCTGCTCCTCTTATGATATGTCCAGCCCATTTCCATTTTAGTACTTTTGTTTTATACACAACGTCAGCTAACCCTGTTTTATCTCTTATTTTCTTGTTACTAATTTTATCAATTCTTCTTTTCTTTATTATGCTTCTTTCTGCTTTCTGCTTTGGTAAGTGCCCATGTTTGACAACCGTAAGTAAGAATTGGTAGGATGCATATGTTGAAAAGTTTTCTCTTGATGTGCATGCTTGTTTGACTATTTTTCATAACTTCTTTCAGGGACCAATATCTCTTCCATGCATTTCCAATTCTTCTGTCTATTTCCTTTGTAGTTGAATCATGGTTGGATATCAGTTGACCTAAATAAAGATATTCTGATACATAAACTATTGTGTTGTCATCTATTTTTATTACTCTATCATTCCTGCCATTGGTCATGGCTTTAGTTTTTTAGATGTTCATTAAGAGTCCAACTTCTTTGCTAGCTGTATTCAGTTCTATGAGCATGTCTGTCTTCTTTGGTATAAAAGAGGAACAGCGCATGGAGTCTCCAATCGAAGTCATAAAAAAAGTACTTGAAGAAAACATGAATCTTCATCTAACTCGAATGAAATAAATAAAGCTTATCGACTAGGCGAAAGAAAAGGCAACAAACCGCGTCCTATCCTTGTAATATTTACAACAAACTGGAGAAGAAACGAAGTACTTAGGAACAAAAAGAAATTAGATTCTGATATCTATATCAAGGAGGACCTTAGCAAGGAAACCTTGGTAAAGAGGAAACAACTTCTGCATGTAATGATGGTATTTCATACTTGTGTAAAGCAGAATAATGTTTTTATCCAAAACCTTAATGTTATATCAATATTTATAAAAATATAGGAACCGAAATTGTACTGTGTTATCATTTATTATAAATTTAAGGATAGTCGAAATTCAATAATTTGAAAATGTCTGCACTATTGTGTCTTTCTATATCCAGGGGCCTTGTTGCATATGTTGAAAAGTTTTCTCTTGATGTGCATGCTTGTTTGACTATTTTTCATAACTTCTTTCAGGGACCAATATCTCTTCCATGCATTTCCAATTCTTCTGTCTATTTCCTTTGTAGTTGAATCATGGTTGGATATCAGTTGACTTAAATAAAGATATTCTGATACATAATCTATTGTGTTGTCATCTATTTTTATTACTCTATCATTCCTGCCATTGGTCATGGCTTTAGTTTTTTGGATGTTCATTAAGAATTCAACTTCTTTGCTAGCTGTATTCAGTTCTATGAGCATGTCTGTTTTCTTTGGTATAAAAGAGGAACAGCGCATGGAGTCTCCAATCGAAGTCATAAAAAAAGTACTTGAAGAAAACATGAATCTTCATCTTAATTCGAATGAAATAAATAAAGCTTATCGACTAGGCGAAAGAAAAGGCAACAAACCGCGTCCTATCCTTGTAATGTTTACAACAAACTGGAGAAGAAACGAAGTACTTAGGTACAAAAAGAAATTCGATTCTGATATCTATATCAAGGAGGACCTTAGCAAGGAAACCTTGGAAAAGAGGAAACAACTTCTGCATGTAATAATGGTATTTCATACTTATGTAAAGCAGAATAATGTTTTTATCCAAAACCTTAATGTTATATCAATATGTATTTATAAAAATATAGGAACCGAAATTGTACTGTGTTATCATTTATTATAAATTTAAAGATAGTCGAAATTCAATAATTTTAAAATGTCTGCACTATTGTGTCTTTCTATATCCAGGGGCCTTGTTGTATGATACAAATGTAATATTCTTCTTCTTCAAAGGCAGAATGTATTTTTCTATCAGGAATTTTGAACATTTGGGGATCTCTGAAATTATTAGATTTATAATTTTAGTATAGTAGAAAAATACAAATATATTACAAAATTTACCTATCTTAACTTATACATCGTTTTCTGTTCGACTTATCTCTGCTGGAGACAAGACATGATCAAGACTGCATCAAAAAATTGGTTCTAGGATAAAAATGATATTTTTAATGCTAAAATAATCAAAATTACCTTCAGATTTCAGCGAGGGAAGAGCAACATTTCATTTGACGTAAAAAATGTACATTTTAATGAGATGAGATGTCAAATGGTATTATCAGAATACCAAATAACAACAATTTTGGAGCGTATGTGTAGGACTGCCAAATTTTAGTTCCAAATGTGAACAACTGTATTTCTCGGAATCACCATGGATTCAAAACTTCAGTGGTCCCCTCATATTAACGGATTGGCGAAGAGACTTAGTTCTGCAGCCTATGCGGTTAAAAAAATTCGCTCACTAACTGATGTCGATACAGCTAGACTTGTTTATTTTAGTTACTTTCATAGCTTAATGACTTATGGCTTATTATTATGGGGTCATGCTGCTGATGTCGAAACTATTTTCATCCTGCAGAAGAGGGCTATTCGTGCAATCTATAATTTAAAATGTAGGGAATCTCTTAGAGATAAATTCAAGGAAATTAATATACTTACCTTTCCCTCGCAATATATTTATGAAAATATTATGTATGTATACAAAAATAGTGATAAGTTTACTAGAATAGAACATACGCACAATGTTAATACACGGAACAAACGCAGGCTGCAATTTCCCCGTACTAGACTATCTAAAGTTAGTAATTCTTTTTTTGGGGAAAGGGATATTTATTTATTTATTTATTAACACTTCGTTGCAAAAAACAATAAATCAAACACAATACAAAAAAAAAAAAAAAATTATAAGGGATGCAACGGGCGGCCTTATCGCTAATAAGCGATCTCTTCCAGGCAACCCTAGTTAAAGAAAAAACTAAAAAAAAAAAAACATGATTCGTGCGAGAAGTGCAGTAACAAATGTTATATAAAAAATATATATATATACATAGTACCTTAATCTAAAGTAATACAAAAAAAAAAAATAATAACAATAGACTAAAAACTTAAAAGCTAATCTTACAAATACATGGACAGCAAATAGTGATGTAAAAGGAAACATAAGATTTATACAAGTCACGATTGATCAGGATAGGATAAGGTTAAGTAATGATTATACAGAAGAGTTTTAAAAGATGACAGAGAGGTAGCCAATCGTACGGAGTCGGGCAGCGTATTCCACAACTTAATGGCGGAGATCGTGAATGAATTGCCTAAGAAGGATGAAGTGTGAGATGGAATTTCCAATAAACATCTATTAGAAGAGCGTAACATATAGTTAGAAGGACCTAAGAATTTAAAGTGACTTTTGAGATAAGAAGGGGTTTTCGGATTGAAAAGAATTGAGTATAGGAGTTGAAGAAGATGAGCGTGACGTCTGAATCGAATAGGTAGCCACCCCAGCTGCCTGCGGAATTTAGACACATGGTCATATTTCCTAAGACCAAATATGAACCGTATGCAGAAATTCTGCAGGCGTTCGATCTTGTCAAGTAGCTCTTCGTTCAAATCAGTGGAGCATGAGTCCGCATAATCGAGAATAGGAAGCAGAAGAGACTGCGCTAACATAGTTTTAGTGCAGATAGGAAGGAAATTAGAAAGACGTTTCAGAGTAAAAGAAGCGGCGTAAAGTTTACGGCTGATCTCCTTTACGTGATGACCCCAGGAAAACGTTTGGTCGAAGAAGACCCCAAGGTTTTTAACAGTCTTATTGAGGGCCAAGGCCACACCGTCAAGGTAAACACCAGGGAGCTGAGCCCATTTGACTCTTGAAATAAAGAAAGGGCTTCCGATGATGATGACTTGACTCTTGGCAGGATTAATTTGAAGACCAAAGTCTTTACTCCAGTTGGCTATGTTTTCAAGATCATCATTCATCGCCTGTATTGCAAGAGGAAGCTCATACAGTGTAGACTGAACGTAGATTTGGAGGTCATCAGCGTAAAGGTGATAACTAGCGGATAGATGTGCAGTCAGGGTGTTGATAAATATAGAAAAAGAAGAGGTGAAAGAACGCCACCCTGCGGAACACCAGCACTTATATTATTTCACTGAGAGTAAGCATCATTCATTTTAATACGCTGCCGACGACCGTTAAGATAGCTATGAAACCAGTCAATAGCGGATGGACAGATATTCATAGAGCGAAGCAACCCAAGCAGAATTTCAAAGTTCACAGTATTGAAAGCATTGCTAAAGTCAAGCAGAGTGAGAACAGTGAGCTGCCCACCATCCATCCCTCGGCGAATGTCGTCACAAACTTTAACCAATGCCGTAGTCGTGCTATGCCCCGGGCGGAAACCCGATTGGAGAGGGTCTAGAATTGAGTTTTTATTCAGAAATCCGCTAAGCTGCGAGTGTATAAGGCGCTCTAGAGCTTTAGATAGGAATGGTAGGTAATGGTAATACTCTTCTTTAATAAAATCCCAGAGGCTCTTTTATCACTGCCTTTCAATAAATTTAAGAAATGTATTAAAGAAAAGCTGTGTAAAAAGGCTTACTAGAAAGTCAACGATTATCTAGTTGATAAAAGGGCCTGGGACTAGTGCTAGACAGGCTACTTCTAATTAATTTGCGATATTTGTTTTAAATAAGTGTTGTTTGATGATTTGCTGTTTTAAAAGAGTACCGAGAGTTTTTTACGCCGGCTTTTTCTCTCGGCCTACACCCTCTGTCTTCTTTGCCGATGAGTAGGGATGCCTTCAAATTTAATGACGTGGAATAAGTGATACATGTATCTTATGTTCCATAATAAACATATTTTATTTTATTTTTTTATTTTAACAGTCTCATTTGAGCGGCGCTTATGTCGCGGTTATTGTTTATCAGAATACCAAATTGTAACATGACACCTTCACGAACGATTTGACAGCAAAAATCCGCTGTGAGAGTGTGTGAAGTGAGTTACAGAATCGCAGGGCAGCCCTGTTTTAAAAGAGTACCGAGAGTTTTTTACGCCGGCTTTTTCTCTCGGCCTACACCCTCTGTCTTCTTTGCCGATGAGTAGGGATGCCTTCAAATTTAATGACGTGGAATACGTGATACATGTATCTTATGTTCCATAATAAACATATTTTATTTTATTTTATTTTTTTATTTTAACAGTCTCATTTGAGCGGCGCTTATGTCGCGGTTATTGTTTATCAGAATACCAAATTGTAACATGACACCTTCACGAACGATTTGACAGCAAAAATCCGCTGTGAGAGTGTGTGAAGTGAGTTACAGAATCGCAGGGCAGCCCTGTTTTAAAAGAGTACCGAGAGTTTTTTACGCCGGCTTTTTCTCTCGGCCTACACCCTCTGTCTTCTTTGCCGATGAGTAGGGATGCCTTCAAATTTAATGACGTGGAATACGTGATACATGTATCTTATGTTCCATAATAAACATATTTTATTTTATTTTTTTATTTTAACAGTCTCATTTGAGCGGCGCTTATGTCGCGGTTATTGTTTATCAGAATACCAAATTGTAACATGACACCTTCACGAACGATTTGACAGCAAAAATCATTTTATGATTTGGCATTCTGATAAACAATAAACTACAAGCTCCCACCTTTTCAGAATGCCAAATCATAAAATGACTGCTTCACGACTGATTTGAGAGCGACCGCCGATGCGAAAACCGCTGTGTGAGTTCGTGAAGTGAGTTACAGAATCGCAGGGCAGGAAGCAAATAATTTGTAGAGATTTATTTATTTATTTCGTAATCCTACAGCTAACATAAATTATATATAATAACAAACAGTTATACATTTTACTACGAAAAAGTTCCAACTTACACAGAAGAAATACCAAGTCTGTTAATTTTTAAAGTCTTATTTGTATTATTTTTTGTATTTGTGGGTTTATATATGCCGTCTTGTATAATTAAAGTCAATAAAAAAATGTGAATTCAAACTGTTTTCCTTTTACATGTAATAATTGAAATTAAAAAATAGAGCTCTTTCATAAAAAATAAATTTCGTTTAGGCGTTATTAGGCGTTTCGAGCCCCCAAATTTAGTCACCCATCATGTTTTCATTATATAGTCCTTGATAACGCTTTTCAAAGTTTATTACATCTTGGTGGAAACGTTCCCCTTGCTCTTCCGAATATGCACCTAAGTTGTCTTTAAAGTTATCCAAATGAGCATGTATCATGTGGACTTTCAATGACATTCTGCAACCCATAACTTTGAAGTTGTGAAGCATATCAGTAATAAGCTCCGTGTAATTCTCTGCCCTTCTGTTGCCAAGAAAGCCATTAATCACTGCTTTAAGGCTGAGCCACGCTTGTTTTTCGTGGGTACTGCGGAGCTGTAGGAATTGTTCACTGGCCATTATTTTCTTTATTTGTGGACCAATGAAAATACCAGCTTTAATTTTAGCCTCTGACAATTTCGGGAAAAATGATTTTAAATATTGAAAGGCCTCAGAGTCTTGACGCAGAGCCTTTACGAACTGCTTCATCAGACCTAATTTAATGTGCAATGGAGGCATTAAAATATGATCGGGCTTCACAATCGATTCATTTTTGACATTATGTTGTCCTATTTGAAACTCGCTCCGTTGTGGCCATGAGTGCTGCTGGTAGTGAAGTGCATCGGCTCTACTGTCCCATAAACAAATGTAACACGGATATTTAGTGTACCCGCCTTGCATTCCCATCAGAAATCCAACCATTTTGAAATCTCCTATCACTGGCCAGGCGTACTCTTCATATTTTAAAACTTGTAGCAACATTTTAACGCTCTCGTAATTTTCTTTAAGCATTACAGAATGAGCAAGGGGAAGAGATGGAAATTTATTTCCATTGTGAAGCAGAACTGCCTTTAACAGTTTGTCACTCCCGCTACACACCTACAGCCCCCCCTTGCCCCTCTCCTGTATCTTCTATGCAACGGCTCCTAAAAAAACTGCTAAAACACTATAATATTCGTTTTACATTGTGTAAAGGTACAAAAGCAAACTTTATTTATTATAAATAGAGTTTCTGCTTCTTTTTCGATGTATACAATCAGAAAATATTCACTAAATAACAGACTCAAAGAAAAATATTTTTTTTGTTGACTTGTGTTATCATTACTTTTGGATCACCCCTCGTATAATGATAAAGAAATGCTTAAAATTGGTGAAATAATAATTACTTAGACTAAAGGAATGAACGTAAATATTTTTAAAATATTGCATAAGTCTTGAATTTTAATGTTACAATAAAATTGTATTTTGTTTTGAACAATGTAAATATTAATTATAACATAAAGTGCGATTTTTGTGAACTCACTCAGGGAACATGTAAAAAGATCTGTGCCGTCTGCTACTTCATTGAGTATATGTAAGGTGCGCGTTATCGCAGCTTTGCCTAGCAAATTTGTTCTAGCACTGGGCCCTGCTAGTAGACGTGGACGCCGCCTACGCCACACGTAATTGTTGGGTACACATAGGTTAATCTCTATTTGCATAATGATCACATGTATTTCGTTCCTCATATAGTTTTTGGAAGTACTTTGTAGCAATATCAACTATCTTGTTTCTAGAAAACTATTTTTTGTCAATTTCATCTCCTTTCAGGCTTGGTATCCAGGTTTTAAGAGTATTTAGTTCCTTAAGGCCTTTCTTAACGCTACCTTTTTTAAGTAATTGATTTTCCAGTGTCTGTAGTCTATGTGCCTCATATTCCCTTTTTATATTCTTCTTTACGGATTTATAAAAAAGGCTAAGTTGTTCTCTTTCTCCTCGTGTCAATGGTTTTTTATGTTGCAATTCACTCCTTCTTTTTAACATACTTCTTGTATTATCTGAGATAATACGTCTTCGTTGAGTTTTTATGGTTTTTGCTGAATTTAGGCTTTTTAAAATAATTTGTTTTAATTTTTCGTAACAGGTCTCGACGTCATCCCAAATATTGAAACTGGTGTATTCTAAGCTGTCTAGTAAAACCTTTTCATTACATAATCTGGATACAAAAGTTTTATTCGCACTATAGTCAATCCTACGCAGTTTTATTTTTTCCAATGTGAAAGTGCTTCTAATTAAGTTGTGATCACTTGGAAAATTAAGATTAAATATCACTTCAATATTAGTCAATTTATTTTTTCTATTTGACAGTTTGTATGGGTCTTAGTCTTTTTGGGGGAAAGCCATGTCCATATTTTTTTAGTATCTTTTATAAAAATACTATTAATAAAGGTGAAGTTATTTTGTTGGACAAAATTAACAAGACTTTCTCCACTTTTATTCCTTGTACCATAAGGGGAGCTAGACAGTACGTCAGCAATACTCCTTGAGAGTGGAATCTAGCCTTTATAAATTTTTAACTGAAATCACATTAGCTAATAAGAAAAAGGTGGAACTGTCCGGTAAAATATCCGCTATGGAAGAATTGGCGTTACACTGTTACATAATGGGCCTTACCCCTAAAATATCTAATTTTGTTAGGATGAAAAACCCACAGAGTCTTAATGAGGCCACTAACCAGGCAATTTCAGAGGAAAAAATGCAAATGTTACTAGAAACTAAAGCGTCTCAGACCAACAAACAAAATCCTAAATCCTATTCTGTACGTGAAGGACGCCCTGTTCATAATTTGAATTAATAGCCGGCTCCCATAAGTCGATACTGTAAGTTCCCGGGACACGTAATAATTGAAAATTGTAAGAAACGCGAATATAACTATATAATTTCTATATAATTTCCTCGCCAGAACAGGGTTCATCATCTGGCAGCAATATTTTGCCACATATCAGGTGTTTTTGTTGTTGGTATGCATTCATCGTGTAGCGTTTCCCATATTACTTTACACACTTCGTCCACGATCTTACTGATTGTTGCGATTCCCATCCTAAATGAATACTGCAAATCTGTATATGTTCGACCCGTAGCAAGAAATCTGAAAAAAAAAATATTTCAGGAAAACTGGTCCAAAAGAGGTGGAAAAAAGCCCGGGATTTTAGAACAAAGAATGCAATGAAAAACACGCCTTCTGGAAGTGCTGCACCAAAATACAAAAAGTACATCTATTATGACGAACTAAGCTTCCTAGCTCCAACAATTGAGAATGAAGTTGATGAATCACTGAATGAAAACGTACCCTCCCCTCCTCTTCCCTCACCCTCAGTATATATAGATAATACGGCATCATTGGATAGTAATCTTCAGAGAATACTCAAGATTCTGATATGTTAGAGAAAAAGAAGGGCCCCGAAAACAAATCCAGAAAGTTCTCCATTGGAAAGAGAATTATTAACTTTATTAAGTAATCAAACACCAGATCTTGCCCCGGATGACCTGGCTTTTTTCGCTACCAAAGCGAAAAAAGGTCCAATTTTAAAAAGTTTTATGTAAGACAAAAGCTAGAGTTTAGATCGCGAGTGTTGCGCGAAGCCATATTCGAAATTGCAACATATCAAATAACTCAAATAGCTCTTACTCCAATGGCACTCGACTCGTAGGCATCATCATACAATTATCAAACTCCAGGTTACCCAGGGTACGAAACCAATGATGCGAATCCAGGTTACCCGGTACTAACAATATAATGGCAAAAAGTAGTCATTTTAATATTTCTATTTTGACCACCGCACTGGTCTGAGTTCATAATTAACTTTTCAGTCTTGACTTTCTCTTTGATGAAACGCAACAAGCAGGAACCAATCTCCATAGGACCCCTAGAAGCTATAGTTTCATCCCACACATACATTGTTACTTCATCATTATGAGCATTATGAATTCCCAGGCAGTAAGGCCAAAGCTGCCTTTTATAATAGAAAATTCCTGTGGAAATAACAGGTGTTGGTAAAGTTTTCATGAAATCAAATACTATAACTGTAAAATCAGAATCATTTGCAGGTCTATTCTTATCTATTTTAAAATTATTTCTTGCAGATTCAGCTTTTAAGAGATGTAGTTTCCTTTGAGAATCAAGTTCATCCTTTTTGACAGACGTTTTTTCAGCTTCTATTTTTATTTTAAAATTATCACATTTTTTACAGGAATCAGTAATTGGTGCATGAAAAGATAGGTTGAATTGCTGATTAAAAACTTTTCTAAACATAAAATTTGACACTTGTTCAGAAGGTGGTGTTTCTTCTTTATATAAAGAAAACAGTTTAGACAAGCCCAAGTCAGGTGCTAAATACATTCGGTTTGTGCTCTCGTGTAGGGTTAATGCAAATATCATTTATACCGTCTATAAAACATAAGTTCAATCTGTTATTACCTCGTCCTGGATCTAGAATATCTTGCAGAGAGGTCCTGCTTTTGGCCCCTGAGCTCTGCAATCTCTTTTGACAATTTCTCGATCATTGAATTGGGGACCGCGCCCGTGGCGGCCACTTGTGGCGCTGGTGGTACAAGGTCTTGCACATTATCAGCCAGATCTGCGAGTGCTGAAAGTGACGACTCTGGCTGCGATGCTACGACTATTTTTATGTTGCCCGGTAAGCGTCTAGTCCACACGGTCTTTATGAAATCGTCCGGTATGCTTGGGCCTGCTAGATGTTGCAGCTGCCGAAGAAACGCCGATGGTCGCCTGTCTCGTAATTCCTCCTGCATCAGCAATTGGGTTAGTTCTTTTTCACGCGACGCTGATAATCTTTTAATAAGCTCGCTTTTTAGCTTTTCGTATTTGCCACTTGGTGTAGGATGAATTAAAATGTCTTTCACGTCAGCAGCGTAACGGTTTTCGAGTTGGCCACGGACGTAATTATATTTGACACCTGAGAGTGCAAAACTTCCTTCTATTTGCGCAAACCAGACTGCAGGTTCTTCTGGCCAGAATGGCGAAAATCGTTCCCCCACACGATAAATGTCGGAGGGTGTAAATGTCTTTTCTTTGAAATGCTATCTGCTTTCGTCGCTTTGTTGGTCGCTGATAGGCATTTTTAAATCTGGTTTTCACTAGCTTACGGTTTTAATGCTGCTCCGTGATATGTACGAGTACATCACGTCGGGGTCACCAATGTAGGAGATGTAGGTGTTGTGTGTGTCTTCCCTTCGTGATGGTGTGTTATCTTCAGGGAACACAATTAAACAACCCTTTCTAGTATAATTAAAATACAAAGAACCACTGTTTGGTGGTGCTAAAATAATAACATGCTTTCCATCTATAGAAGCTACACAATTAGGAAAATTCCATTTATTCCAAAACTCTTCTATATATTTTTCCCATTGTTCGATGCCAGGCGTCGGGATACTTTCTCGCAGTACATTTTTAATTACAGCATCACAAACTTCTAACACGGCACGTCTCACAGTACTGATTCCCAAGCGATAATTAAAAGCAATGGTTGTAAATGAATCGCCTGTTGCTAAGTACCTGCAAACAAAATATCAATATTAATCGTGTAATTATTTTTTACAGCTGCAGCTTGCAAACAAAGATGGCAAGGGCTAAGGCATGCATAAAAGATGAAATGGCTTTTGTTGCTTCGTTATTTGCCGAGAGAAAATCTTTAGAATCCGTTGAGCTGACAAGTGACGATGAAGAGTCACAGCCGAATAGCGATACAGGAACTGAAATTCAGAACCATCACTTCAACAATGAGATCGATAATACTGTTGATATTGCTGCTGCAGAAAATATTACAGCCACCGAAATTCAGAACGAAGATGACATTACTGCCAGTAATAAATCCTCACAACCACTACTCAGTCAAGCAAAAAAGGCCAAGACAATAAAGAGAGGTAAAATTCAACCACCACAAATAGCATCCGCTGTATTAATGTCGAAATTGTTAGAAGCGCAAAATAAATCTCCACGACAAGACGATGAATTAGACCGATTTTTTTTGCACATATCAGATACAGTAAAGAAGTTTTCTCCTTACTTACGAGCCATCGCAAAAAACAAAATATTCAGTTTAGTTTCCGAAATGGAGTTACAGCAGCTCGCACCACCTAACTTTGCTACAGCTATGCCTATGCTTCATCTTCTTAATTATGCTACGTTAATTAGAGCGCTTATTATTATTGAAAGCGGAACTTAATAGCGCAATTTCAAATTTAAACACAAATATTCCAGTATTGTCAGCGAACTATTGTCTATCATAGAAAAACTGGTCCTAGTTTTAAAGCCCTGTGAGGAAGTTACAAAAGAGATTATATGTGACTGGCAGTTCGGTTATCCCCATAACTATAGCTTTGAAATCGGCGTTAGGTGCTATTCTAGATTCTTCCGAGCCTTAACCAGATGACGTAGAAATGGTAAGGCAGGATATTCTCAATGGACTCCAAACACGTTTTTCTTCGCTAGAATATAGCCGCACTTTTACGACATGCATGTTTCTGGACCCTCGGTACAAACTTTATTTCGAAAACGAAAGTACAGCAGAATCTACAAAAAAACTTGTTATTGGATTAGTAACATCATTAATTTTAGAGGAAGCAACAGAACCAGAACAATATTTTAGAATCCTCTTCGGTATCCGGATCGGAAAACACCATTTGGGCCCACTATTCCAAAAAAATGCAAAATATTAGGCCCAGTGGTACCGCATTTTCTAGAGCTGTGGTTGAAGTGCAACGTTACCTAGACGATACAGTAATATCAAAGTCTCATTCGCCTTTAGAATGGTGGAAGGCTAACAAGAATTCATACCCTGACGCTGGGGGTAGAGCTAGAATTGGGTGGTCAGGCCACCTACGCTCCCCCTGGCCCCAACTTCATTCCGGTCGATTTGGAGGCCGCGCTCAACCAGAGGCCAACGATCCTCGCGGGCGACTGGAGGAATGCCAAGCACGTCAGCTGGCACTCTCACTCCAACAGCTCCCGAGGCATCCGGCTTCTGCAGTACGCCGAGGCACGCGGTTACCACGTGTGCGGACCAGACGCCGCCACCCACTACCCAAGAGTGGATGCTCACAGGCTGGATACCATCGACCTGGTGGTGCACAACCGGCCTGGCCTCTACCTGGCGCAGGAGGTATTGATGGACGAATACCAATCGAACCACCAGCCATTGCTGTGCATCATCGCGGGGGCACCATCCCCGCCCGTACGCACCTGGAAGGTCACCGATTGGAAGGCCTTCGAGTCCATCATGAAATGTGTATTTCATATAATTATATATTATAGGGGTGTCCCTACACCCGGCCCACCGGACACGACAACAGGCGCCGTTGACGACATGGCGGAGACCATGACACGGCAACTCCAGACGGCTCTGGCGGAAGCTACAACCACGCGTCCGCCAGAGGTCATACGCCCGGACCTCGTTCCCTACGTGCAAAGGCTGATCCAGCAGAAGCGCGCGAGTTAAGAGTACCAACCCTATTGATATATGCTTTGCTAGCACTAAGCCGAATGTAGGTCGTGCGTCAGCAACGGCCAATACTTAGTAAGTAAATCTGAATGTATAAATTCATGAAGAAATAGATATTAAGTTGATTATTGTTTAGTTCTTAATTAAGTGCTGTCACTCTGTTGATTTAAATAAATTATTTTTAAACCAAAAGTCCGTTGCCGTTCCTTTACTCGCGCTCAGGAGTCAGTGGCAGCGCAATCGCTGCCCCGTGCTGAAGGCGCATCTGAACCGCCTCGCCGAACATGTCAAGGCCGAGCTGGCGACACACGCGCGGCGCACGTGGGAGCACACACTGGGAGAGGCAACCACAGAGCCTACTCGCCTCTTCCAACTATGCCGCCGTCTCTATCGGACTCCAGAGCCGAAGCGTCCCCTGTACGCTGACAGCAACGGTGCCATCACCTACGATGACATCGATCAGGCTGAAATTTTCGCCGAAAATATCGAGCGCCAATTCTCGCCGAACACCGCAAAATCCCCTGCGCGCGTGGCTGAGGTGGAGAGCGCTGTCGAGGCCCGGCTGACGAGCCCGATCCCACCTGACGAAGCCCAGATTCTCTTTTCGCCATCACAAGTGCGAAAGACGATCCGACGACTGCTGCTCAAGAAGGTCCCAGGACCGGACGGCATGACCCACCAGGCGCTGCGCCATCTGCCTATGAGGTGGATAGTCGCACTGGCGCGCCTTTTCACGGGGATCCTCCGGACTCTACAGAAAGATCTCGATTGTCCACTTCATATTCTCAGCCATCCACTCCATATTCTAACACATCTATATATTGCTCTTCGCTGATGATATCAAACTTTACATGCCCATAGAAAGTACAGACGACTGTATGCGGCTGCAGGAAGACATTGATCGAGTGGTAAATTGGAGCAGGAGAAATAGATTAGAGTTTAATTTGGCGAAATGCAAAGTCATATCTTTCTCGAGAGCACGATTTCCCACTCGATACAATTATACTATTAGTGGTCTAGTGTTAGCTAGAGTATCGGAGGTTAAAGATCTAGGAATATATTTTAATGCCAATCTTGGGTTTGCGCAACACGTCGATAAGACTTGCAAAAAGGCATACAGAAATTTAGGGTTCATATTGCGAATAGCTTGTGGCTTCACAAATATCAATGCGATTAAAATTTTATACAATGCGTTAGTCAGAAGTCACTTGGAGTGCAATGCAATGGTGTGGGCCCCATATGAGGCTAAATACAGTCTCATGCTAGAGCGAATACAAAATAAATTCACCCGGTACCTCTACATGAGACTGTATGGAGTGTATCCTTTGTATCCACTTATGTACCCGACCCTGTTTGTTCTGGGTATGGTGGGATATGACCAGCTACGCCTCAGAAGAGAGCTAGCCTTGTCGGTGTATATATTTAAGATACTTACGGGTCGGGTTCATAATCCGGACATAATGGAGAGACTGAGTCTACGGGTACCAAGTAGAAACCTGAGGCGGAAGTCTCAACTTTTGGATGTACCGCGCGCACATTCCAACTTGGTTAGCGAAGCACCACTCACGCGAGCAATACACATAATAAATAAGATTTCTATTAAGGTAGACTTATTTGTTTGTACACTGGCTGAGTTCACAATAGTTGCTTCCTATATTATTAGTTATAAGATTTAGGCACATAAATATATTTCTGTTAATGTTTTGTATTTAGGTTAATTGGTGTGGGTAAAATATTCTTTTGTTCTATCGAATTAGTTATCACTGTAAAGGTAGAATAATTATATGGAAATAAATAAATAAATAAATAAATAAAAATAAAAAATATTCTGAAGAAATAGCATCATCTGCCGATGATCGATTCATACTCACAATACCCATGCAATCAAACACTAACACTTCAACTTTTGGTCAAGAATCAGGACAGAATATTTTTTCTCAAGCTTGGAATAATGCCTAATGTCAATGCTGAAATAAATAAAAAACATGAAAGATATTCAGAATTGTTTTACTCACTTTATTAAAATCCTTTAGTGTAGTAGCTATTTCACTACAAACAACTGGAACGAACTGTGAAATCGTCGATTTTCCTACTCTGTACAGACGCTTCTAGAGATACAAATGAATCACCTATAGCTAAACTATCTTAGTGTTATTTCAAATTTGGTTATTGCCAGGATGGCATTTCGCATGTAAGTATCATTCTTTGTTATTTTGTCCCCAATTTTTCCTAACAATCCATCAAATTTCTCTGGGAGCATTCTCAAATGGTTTCTGTCACCATCATGATCTTCTAGACGCATTTCTTTAAGAAAAAGATGAAAATCACCCTTATCAAGAAATTTATCGATGTTTAAGTAAGAGTGTGTTACGGTAATTTTGAAATTATACTCCGATCATTCATTCCCAAAGCTGAAAATAAAGTAAACAATAACACTCATATACTTTAAATTCGATCAGAATCTAGTCCTCTCAAAACAAGAATTATATATGGTCCTTACATATAAAATTGGCGTTTTGTATGGGAGGAACAAAAGATCAAATATTTTTAAATATTATATATTTAATTAATCAATGTATGAACCATTGTTTTGTATGCACTTTTGCCATCTCATAGGTAGTTCATTGATCCCTTTACTAAAAAAACCAGTCGGACGGGAATCAATAAAATCTGTGAAGGCGATTTGGACTGCCCCATCAGAGTTAAATTTTTTCCCTTGCAAGAAGTTGTCCAAATTTCGAAAAAAATGGTAATCTGTTGGAGCAAGGTCCGGGGAGTACGGACAATGTCTTAGACATTCCAATTGAAGCTCTTCTAATTTGGTAGCAGTCTGTTGTGCAGTGTGTGGTCTAGCGTTGTCGTGAAGTAGCAGTGGCGTGGAGCGATTGACCAGCCTAGGTTGTTTAGCCGCTAGCTTTTCCATCATGGTTTGCAATTGCTGACAATAGACATCAGCCGTAATAGTCTGGCCAGATTTGAGAAAACTGCAATGAACAATACCGGCACTAGTCCACCAAACTCTTACAAGTAACTTTTTTGGGGTAAATTTTCGCTTGGGGCAGGATTTGGCTGGCTGGCCAGGATCCAACCATTGCGCTGAGCGCTTCCGATTATCGTAAAGAATCCATTTTTCATCATAGGTAATGATTCGGTTTAAAATACCTTCATTATTGTGCCGGTTCAGTAATGTAACGCAGCAGTCGACGCGCGTTTGCCGGTTTGCTTCAGTCAATTCGTGAGGTACCCATCTTTCAAGCTTTTTAATCTTCCCAATTTGCTTCAAGTGAATTAAAACAGTTTTATCAGTAACACCGCAGCCTGCAGCTAACTCGGACGTGGTTTGCGATGGATCCGCTTCCACAATAGCCTTCAATACTTCATTATCAACTTGGGTCTCAGGCCGTCCACGGGGCTTGTTCTGCAGGTCGAAATATCCAGAACGAAAATGTTGGAACCAAAAACGAACTGTGTTTTCTTTTGCAACATGACATCATCATACACATCATTCACCCTTCGAGTCGTTTCCGCAGCACTAGTGCCACGGCGGAACTCGTACTCGTAAATAATGCGATACTTTAAGTTTTCCATTTTGTAAAATGAGTGACGCAAACAGAAAAAAAACAAATAAATGACGGTCATCGAAGCACAAATACATGAGTAAATAGCTGTACAAATTTGAATTTGGAATTCCTTACCAAAGAGGGGAACATCGTGATTAAAGTGGCCAGTACGAAATACGCCAATTTCATATGTAAGGACCTAATATAAACAAAAAAGGATTGTGTGGTTTTCTGGAACCACGGTAAAAGTGAAATTTTTTTTCACATTATAGACATGTAAGTAAATTTTTTGGGAATAATATTCCATTAAGGGTACAAAAATCGCTTTATCAATCTTAATGTTATACTTGGAAAAATTTGAATAATAATGGGAAATAATACAAGTAGACTAAGTCTCCAACTAATATTTTTATTGAACTCTGTGTGTGTGAACGTGTCTTACGTCCAAACCCAATAACTAATCTACAATCTCCGATTGAAAACAATCTGAGATCAGACCGTGACAGTCGCTCGATCTCCTATCTGCATCCCAATAATAGCTACGAAGACTATCCATTTTTGGCGACGGATAGAATGGAATCCTTTCCCTCTTTGTTGTTTCATTTTACTGAGTTTACACTCATATTTGATAATCAATTTAAACCAAATAAAGGAAATAAAACCGTAAAATAACATTAAAATATACATGTCTATGTTTAAAACATAACAAATAGCTATTTTAAAACTGGTGTAAGTTAAAATCTGGTAAAATAATTAACTGTTGGAATCGAGCTTTCGTTTAGCATTAAAGTAAAACGTAACGCCTGCTGACAATTGACAATCTTACAAAAAATTTAAAAGTTTAGCTTTCGGAAGTGAAATATAATATTGTTTTTATATTTTAATAATTTGAATATACATATTGAAGCGGTTAGTAATATTTATCATAAAATTGTGTAATAGATAATAACGTTTCAATTCACATAAACGCTACACATTTATTTTCTATCAAGTAATAATTGTATTTTGCACTTTTCCTTGTTTTAGTCTAAAGGTAAATCTTTATCAAAGGACGAGACGAAAGCGTTGCTTGCCTTCATTGCGAAGAGCAAAATAATTAATAATAAGACAACCAACGCTACCAACAACAAGCTGAAAAATGAGGAGTGGAATTGTATAAGCGAAAAATTAAACGCCACAGTAGCTATAACTCGGCGTACCCGCAGCAATTGAGATTAAAGTGGGAAAATTTGAAGAAAAATTCTCGCAAGCGAAGCACTAAAATCAGAATGAATCACATCAAGGTTAGTTGTAGTTGGGAAATGTTAACTGTAGTATTTGAATAAACACAGCACATAGTATATATTGTATAAATTTTGTCTTTTTTAGACAGGAGGTGGAGCACCGGAGTACATACCCCCAGATGAGATCCTTGACCACGTGTCCTCATTACTAGGAAGTACTGCGAAGGGTCGAGTCACAGTTACAGTCGAGTTTGGGGGTGACGCAGAACCAGCTGAGTTCTGGGGTGATGCAGAATCAGCTGAGGTCATCAGTGACACTGGGGCTTTGCATGAACTTAATAAGGTTGTGGGAATATAGGGTTGTCCGGTAGAGGTGCCAGCTTTCTCGATAGATTAGTACTACATTGTCTATACCTAATGATTTGAAACAAAATCCAAAATACATATGGTCCTACGTTAATAACTTAAAACATAATAGTTGTTCTGTACCAAGCCAAGTCCTTTGGGGTTCTAAGCAGGCGAATGGTGGCCAAGAAATATGCGATTTATTCTCAGAATACTTTCAATCAGTATATCAGCTACAACCCTCATTAACAACATCTTCAGATATAGATCCTTCTTCTCCAATAACTGAAGGTCTAGTCTCTGGGTGTTATCCCTCGTTGCATAATGTGATCCTGGAAGTATCTGAAGTTCGCGCCGCCATTAGGAAGTTAGACGCAAACAAAGGTATAGGGTTAGATAATATACCTAATGTTGTGCTAAAGAAATGTGCCGAAAATATATCGATTCCCCTACGCATGATTTATAACGAGTCTTTGCGTCAAGGTGTGTTTCCTACCGTATGGAAAGCTGCTCGGGTAACCTATATATAACCTATTCACAAAGGCGGAGATAGAAACGTTGTTCAGAACTATAGACCAGTTTCAATATTACCAGCACCTGGAAAAGTGTTTGAGTCTCTTATTCAGCAGAGAATTTTTTGGCATGTAAAACAGAATATACACCCAGAGCAACATGGTTTCAAGCCAAAGAAATCGACCACTACGAATTTGCTTGGTTTCACTGAGGACATAGCGAAGGGAATCGACAACGGACAGGAAATCCATGCAATATATTATTCAACGAAACAAAAAATACTTGATGCTAAGTTAAATAATATTTTGCTACAAAATAAGATATTAGAGTTAGAGAGCTAGAGTCTTAATATTTAGGTATTTTATTTTATTTAGTTCTTAGTTTAATATTAATGTTTTTTATTTCTTTTATATCTTTTTTAATTTCAAACTTAATAATAATAAGGGCATAATTTCGGTCAAAAGTAACTCCACTGCAGGTTTATTTAACCTTTAGTGTTTGAGGTACACCAAATGAAAACCATAAAAGAATTCACTATCTTTATTGTCCTCTGACTTACATGGCGGTTATAGGGCGACTGATTGATCCACGTGCAAGTGGAATTACGAAATAATGATGCGTAGACAATATTACAAATACAATTGCGAAATTTCTATATAGCCAATAATTACACCACTACATACACCCCCTTCTTAAAAAAAAAATGAGTTGATACATATAAACACAAAAAAAAAATTGACTACTGAAACTTTTAAATAAAACTATGACAAAGTGTAAATGTTATAACTATATACGTAGTATAAATGAATTCTATATTTTTCTTTTAAATCTAAATACAAATTAGTTTTGCAATTAGCTGAACAATCGCGGAATTTGCAATACTAAGTATGTTGCTTACAAATCAAAACATAAACCTAACGGGTTGCTTAATACTTCTACCACTACGCGTAGTTTTTAAAGGTTCATTAACCTGCTTATGCTGATCTAAGTTTCCGCTAACCTGGTTGCTATTAAACTCATCTAGGATATACGCTGGCTTTACACGGTCTATTGAAACATAAGAAATTTTATCATTTATCGCAATCTTAAAATTCTTTTTATTCCTTTCCAATACCTTGTAGGGTCCGCAATAAGGTGGTACTAAAGGTTTCCGTACTGCGTCTATTCTCAAGAAAACATGTGAACAGGAACCTAAATCAGCATGTACAAACATATTTTTATAACTAAAATCTCTAGATTTAGGTTTAATACTATTTAAAATATCTCTCAATCTAATTATGTACGCTTGCGGATTCTCTATTTTACTAATACTATCGCTACAAAATTCACCAGGTAAACGTAAACAATGACCTAGAGCGAATTCCGCTGCGCTTATGTAACCGCTGTCCGCCTGACACGCTGCTCGCAGTCCTAGCATCACCGTAGGTAATTCTGCGAACCAAGCTGCGTTATTGGTTAACCTCGCCATCAATGCCGCTTTTAAAGACCTATGCCATCTTTCTATTTTACCATTTGCCTGCGGATGATAGGGACTAGTACGTGTTTTACGAATGCCTAATATTTTCATTAAATCTATGAATAATTCGCTCTCAAACTGTCGGCCTTGGTCTGACGTCAGAAAAATTGGACAACCGTACCTACAGATCCAGTTATCATAAACTGCTTTTGCAACAGTCTCAGCCGTCACATCTGTAACTGGACAAATCTCAGGCCATCGTGTACGCCGATCTATCATCGTCACGCAGTACCGATAGCCATGTTCCGTCACAGGTAGTGGTCCTATTAAATCGATATGCAAATGTGCAAAACGGTCGCCTTCCTCGAAAGTACCTAACTTAGACACCGTGTGTCGCACTATTTTACTTTTTTGACATTGAATACATGTCTTTGCCCAAATCCCTATATCCTTGTTCATATTTGGCCAAAATGCTTTTTTACATATAAGTGATCGCGAACCCTTTACCCCTGGATGCGCTAACCCATGGAAATAATCAAATATAGACTTTCTAAACTCTTTCGGAATGTATGGTCTAATATTTTTAGTAGACGTTTCGCAATAAATCAAATCATCGGAATTATTTAAGTTCATTTGTTTCAATTGTATGCTACTAGCGGTACTTGTACTCAATAAATTTGCTAACTCAGCAGGCCGCGCATGGGCGATGTCTACGTATTGTATCGGGTTCGGACATGTTATCTCTTCTATCCTCGACAATGCGTCCGCAACTGCGTTCTCACTACCTATTACGTGTTGAATGTTATTTGTAAATTCGCTAATAAATAACAGCTGTCGCGCCCTTCTAGGTAATTCTTTGTTTGAACTTAACTTTATTTTATTTTATTATAGCCTCTATTCGGACATGCCAGTATTTTTCTTTATTTTTCGTATATTGTACTTTTCTTCCACTTTTGCTTGTCCGTTTGCCAGATGGCAAAGGCCTCCTCCAACCTTCTCCATTCTGGCCTTTCTATGGCCACTCTACCCCATGTTGTTCCCGCGACTTGTATAATGTCGTCGTCCCACCTTTTTTGTGGTCTACCTCTCTTTCTCTTTCCATCTCTTGGGTACCATTGTGTGATTATTTTACTCCATTTGTCCTTTCCCCTGATCATGTGGCCTGCCCATTTCCACTTTTGTCTTCTTATTTTCAAAGTTATGTCCTGTACCTTAGTCTTTCCTCTGATGTTACTACTCCTTACTTTGTCTTTTCTTTTGATCCCAGTCATGCTCCTTTCCATGGCATGTTGACATACGGAGAGTTTATTTGTTACGTTTTTTGTTAAAGCCCATGTTTCGCTCCCGTAAGCCAGCACTGGCAGGATGCATGTGTTAAATAATTTGCTTTTCGTTGAATTGTGTAGGCTCTTGTCTTTCATCACTTCTTTTAGGCTCCAATATTTTTTCCAGCTGTTTGCAACTCTTCTTTCGACTTCTTTGTTTCCGTTATCGTCTGGAGACATCAGTTGACCGAGGTATAAATATTCTTCCACGTAGGGGATTTGGTTCTGCTCCACTATTACAAGGTCTTTGTTGCCATTGGTCATGATTTTTGTTTTTTCCGGGTTTAGCTTCAATCCGGCCTTTGCACTTTCCGATGCTAGATCATTTATCATCTTGTTTAGATCAGTTGGTGTTTTTGCAAATAATACGATATCATCAGCGAATTGTAGGTGCGTTAGCGCGCGGCCATTAATAGTTATGCCCATGTCCCTCCATTCCAGATTCCCGAAGATCATTTCTATTACGGCCAGAAAGAGTGTTGGTGAAAGGGGGTCACCCTGTCTTACGCCTTTTTGTATTTGAAATTTATTTCCTTCTTTTTCTAGGCGGATACAAGCCGAACTTAACTTACTAAATGCAAATGTTAACGGTTTATGGTCTGTATACACCGTAAAATTCCTACCTTCTATTAAGTCTCTAAAATAAACGATGCCTGAGTAAATCGCCAAAAGTTCCTTGTCATATGTGCAGTACTTCTTTTGGGATTCCGTAAGCCTTTTTTGAAAAGTATCCTAGGGGTCTCCAAGTGTTGTTTTCCTTTTGTTGTAACACCGAGCCGATACTGAAATCGGATGCGTCGGTCATTAAAGCTAATTCTGCATTTGCAATCGGATGCGATAAAGTGGCGGCGTTCTTTGAATTCTCCTTACACAAATCAAATGCCCTACTAGCCTCGTCTGTCCACTGTATCTTACGCTTATCGTTCTTTTTTGCTCCGTGTAAATACCTATCTAACGTTCCTTGTACTTTCGCGGCGTTCGGTATGTGGTTTCTATAGAAGTTTAACATGCCGAGAAACCTACGAAGGTCCACAATAGTTTCTGGTTTCGGGTACATTTCAATAGCTTGAACTTTGTCGTGTAACGGACTAATACCTTTTTCTGAGACCTCGTATCCTAAAAAATCTATTTTTGTTTGACCAAAAACACATTTTCCTAAGTTAATTGACATACTATATTTACTGAAACGCTCGAACAACAGTCGCAAATGTTTTTGGTGTATTAGCTCGTTATCTGATCCAATTATGACGTCATCAAGGTACCCGAATACATATGATTCTCCGGTTATATTCTTATCATCTAAACTATTTAAATGTTCTATGCCTGCTAATATCGTACTATTTATAAACCTTTGGAATGTTTGGGCTGCGTTACGCAGTCCAAACGTCATCCTTGGGAACTCAAAAAGTCCGAATGGTGTAATAATCGCTGTCTTTTCAATATCTTCCGGCCTAATTTTTATAACATGATACGCTCGACAAATATCAATTTTTGAAAAAACTTTTTTGTTATGTAAACCATAGGTAAAGTCAATACCAGCCGAAGATTTGAAAGAGGTCTGTCTAGCGTCTAATATATCAAACGTCCCATTTATCACCATGCTTGACTCCGTAATGGTGAGCGACTCGATAGAATTTTTGTGGGCAAGAGCACTTTTTGAAAAATCAACAACACTGGAACACAAGAGGGGAAATATGACAGTGTGTCCTGATTCAAGGGAAGGGAGAGACGTTGCGATATACAATAAGCGAGGTGTTTCTCGAATATGCAAGATGGGAAATCAAGTAGTGAATTTCAAGTATGGAGATATGAGAGGGAAGTATGTTTATAATGGCCAGACTCTGATAGAGATAGTCAGCACTTATACGACTGTTAGGGATTTAACATCTGTGCTCAAAGAAATTGCAAAACACATCAATTATAGGTTTCAAGAAACTAGGGACATGAGAGAACAAAACAATGACAGAACAATTGAGAAGATGATAGATGTAGCACCATACAAATTCTTAGATTGCAGGATAACACAATTCTCTACTATTGGCACATTGAGACCTGGTCAAAACTGTGGCAAGTTCAGACACCAACCTGACTCAGAATATGTAACAACTGGATGTTACCAAGTTACGCTAGATGGAAAACTAGATATCCTGCTGCCTGGAACTAGATTGACTATCCCTGTGCATATATCAAGAATTCACTATCTTTATTGTCCTCTGACTTACATGGCGGTTATAGGGCGACTGATTGATCCACGTGCAAGTAGAATTACGAAATAATGATGCGTAGACAATATTACAAATACAATTGCGAAATTTCTATATAGCCAATAATTACACCACTACAAACCTAAATCTAAAAGTGAAGTCGGTATCGTTTAGATTATGCATAAAATTTATTCGTTTTATCCGCCTTGGTCTTGGTCCGTTATTGATGGAATCATCACTTTCCGAATCTGATAATAATCCTAGAACTTCCAGGTCACTATCACTATCGCTATCACTTGAAGATATTAATTGTAAGGCCATATTTTTATCATCAGTAATCCGAGATAATTGGTGGATTGCAAATGCAATCTGCATTCACCCGCCAAACAATATGTAAAAACTTTAAGATGAATATTGGCACAGCTGAACTGTCATTTTCATACAAAGGTCTATCCACAGACACCGATCGGACCTCACATGGATAGCTTGTATCGCCAGATGACTATTACAATCCGTCGATTGGTTAGTGGCACACTATATACAACATTTGGATTGAGATTTTTATCTCAGATGGTGGATTATGGATTTAGATAGGTTATTGGGTTCGGACGTTAGAAAGTACGACATACATAATACTTAACAATTATTTAGATTATATACACATATTAAATAATAGTCTATACACTACACGGTCAGCTGCTGTGAACTATAGGCGCCGCCATATTGGCTGCTATGACGAGCGCTTTTCACTTTATCCCTACTCCGCGGCCGACCCTCACGCGACATGCGACACACAGACGAAAAAAAAAGACTGCGGCAAGTTTCGCCCTTTTTAGCCGATACACACTGTCCGTCGTTTCCAAGAGGCCCGAAGATTGTATCGCACGGTTGATCTTTTAATGTCTTCCTCGACAGTGGCAATTCCCAAATATTTATGGACTTCAGTATTTCGTGTTAACCACAGCTGCAGCGCACCGCTCATATTTCGCAGTGTTTTGTTTTGTAGCCGCTGCAGGATTTCGGTATAGTTAACTTCTAAATATGTGAAATAATTGAGATTGAATTTACAAATTTTAGTATGGGACATGTACGTTTACATACATTGGCGTTTTAGATGTTTTTTATTTATATATTTTTTTACTGAAATTGATTTAATAATTATAGTATTTGATCTGATGTCACACAAAATATTGTGTTAAAAACAATTGATTCTGTATTTTCGGTGTCTAACTGACGAAAAGATGTTTCAGATAAATTATAATATTCAGTCAGGCGCCGCAGCCAGGCCGGATTTCATATATGGATGGTTTTACATTAACAACAACCTGAGTTGGATAGTGGTGGCTGCTCATCGAATCATCATGAATTCGCCATTCACAGCTATTGCTGGGTTAACCAAAGTTACATCAATTGCAGATTTTATATTTTTTATATAGAACGGGGGGCAAACGGGCAGGAGGCTCACCTGGTGCTATGTGATACCGCCGCCCATGGACACTCTCAATGCCAGAGGGCTCGCGTGCGTTCCCGGCCTTTTAAGAATTGGTACGCTCTTTTATTTCAATAAAAGAAATCCTATCCTAGACCCTAGGATAGGATAGGATATTGTCGAATTGGTTCGGAAATACTTCAGTGGGCAGCTGGTTCCACATAGTGGATGCATTCCGGTTTGGAATTTGAACAGTTGCAGCATTCCCATCATTCAAAATACACAAGTCTAGTTCATCAATGAGATTGTACAAACTATTGCCTCTACTATTATTTGATTGACATGCAAAAACTATATGCTGTTCATTTAGATCTACCATTGTTGAATATATATATGTAGTTTATAAAGTTTTGCACGAGTGTATCTAGATGGCGCTAGCTGTTATTTAAAACGCGCTTTCAAAGTGTATTGCAAGTATTGAGCTTTTGAAGAAATTTTTATTCAGTTTACTCTCGGACTCACCAAGGAGCTTGGATGGAATTATTCAACCATTATTATACATGGCTTAGGTACTTCAAGTAAAACCTTATTCATTTTGTGAATATTGAACCTGTTAACATCATTATTGTGAGGGCATACAAAAAGAATATGCAATTTGCCCATAGATGTTTCTACAGCTACACAGATATTCTGAAAGGATTCATGAAATGTAGTAACTATATCATATTTTAGATTTTGTTTCATTAGTATACCTACACCATTATGGGTACTAGCGGAGTTTTTATGTATAAAGTTATGTGGTGCAAAGTTTGGAATTATCCTAGTACTTTTAAACAAGTTTCATTTAATAAACAGATATCAATATTATGTCCCAATAGAAAAATATTCAATAAGGCTTTCTTACTTTGTAAGCTTTGTATATTAAACTGTGCTATGTTAAATGTATCCATTAATTAATGTAATACATTAGCTAAAAGTATTTCTTTGATCTTTTTATTTGTAATGGGTGTGTCGTTTTTATTTTTACCCAGAGTAATAAGAGATTTTATTATGGCGTTAATGATAATGTCGTTGTTGAGAATTTGCTGTGTATTGAACGGGCCTGTACTAACATTATTATTGTTCAGCTTTGTAATATCCGGAAACTTGAGGGTCTAACATCATGGCGCATCCACACATGCCGCCGGCTTACGCCGCCGGGTTTGCCGCCGGCTTACAGACCGCCTTGCCGCTGAATTTGCCGCCGGCTTTATCGCCGGCCCGCAGATGCGGTTGCAATTTTCGCAGAAGTGTTCTAATGATGCTATGTAAAACACAGAAGCAATATCCCTAATAGCATCATTTCTTTTGTTACGATTCTTGAAATCCATGTGCCTTGGTTTCCACAATAGTTCATTTTCTTGATACTTTTCTATTAATAAAAGTACTGCACTATCATCCCAGTTAAATTCTGTCATTTCGTTATTTTTATGAAATGAACAACACTGCCACTCCGTATCGAAGCCGCAAGCAAACTGCCGCCGGCAATCTAAAGCCGCGCGTGCCGCAGGTAAAGAATGCATGTGCCCGAAGAATGAATGCACGCCAGGCCGCCGGCTGTGCTGCCGGGCATGTGTGGATGCGCCATCAGAGGGGCTATGGGAGCTGTACACACCACAATGGCATAACTTCGGTTGAGATTGAGATATTTACTCTTTTTTTCCTACATTTGGAGACTGCCAAATGATTGCCATTGCAATTAATACAAACAATTTCATCTACGTCATCATCATCTAACATGACGAGCACATTTGCTCTCCGCGACAAACTCGTGCTGAGTGATTGAATTTCAGGCATCGGAAACATTGCAGCAGTGGTGGAATATACATGTGGATCGGGTATCTAAACATCTGTATGTATGCATATTGGAGCAGCGTTGTGGCAGCAAAAGTCACTGAAATCGTGTCGGACCAGTTTTCCGTCAACTTTTCTCATGAACCTTTTAACTGAAATCATTTAACTGATTATAATCTTGTATATTTCCGCATTCGTTAGCTCCTTGGGTATATATCGTATGACGCCCGTCGTTTCGAGCAGGTGAGCTAGAACAAAAGCTTTAAGCTTTTGTCGCTCTAGAAAACTGTCCATTTTTAGGAAATTATTATCCGGTGCTGGTTTTTTGAAAGTGATGCCTATTTTGTATAGTTAAAAAACTTGCGTTCATACTGCCGCAACTTGTCGTGAAGTACACAAAACGCTCCTGTGATATATCGTTCAAGTGCTGAAGAAGCAATTGTTGCCGGTTGAAACTAACCATCGAACCACCGAACAACTATATAAAGGAAGCCCACAAGGAACTACCACGCACGACAAAGCTCTAGAACTGAGCCATTGAGCGGTGAACACACGATCGCTGTTATGTCATCTTAAACTCGGCCCGAAATAATCTCGTTCTCGGTGGACTAACAGCTTATAGTGATGATACGTACAAGGTACGTATTTTTTGTTTTGTTCACTTAAAAACAATGTATCTACCTTTTTAAACAGGGAGCAACTTCTTGATTTAATCGAAATGCATGGAATTTTACAACTGAGATATACTTTTAGTTGTAGGTAGTCAATGGATGGAACTTGTGACCTTTCATTTGCATACAAGTATCGGTCATAATACCCTCTGGTGGGCTGTTTTTTTGTTTCAAAAAAACAGCCCACACCAGCACAAACTAGAAACCTTCTTCACTTCATCTAGACACCAGCACAAACCACTTTCATTGTGGGACCAACTCTGAAATTTCGAATATTTTGTCTTAGTTTGTGCATTCTTGTTTGAGAATTTCTCGCAATCCATGGCATAACATGGGATAGGTTGAGAAAGAAGGTTCTTCAAAAAGACCTCGATATTAGAGATGGTAGAGGAAGACATGATAATCACGCGAGGTTCCTTAAGATGCAATAGACAGAGTTAGGTTTAAAGAACTTTATTACTCATAAGAACTTAATACTAGTTCGCTTACAATGAGATACAGTAGGTACTTAATTCTAAATTATATAATATTAGTAGCCTCTAGGGCGTTGGAAACATTACTGATTGCAAATAATCTTTTAGACCTCCTTTGAAAACATTCATATTTTCGCACTGTTTCAATTCCTCTGGTAAATTGTTGAACAACTGTGCTCCTTCAAATAATATCGTTGTTTTTCCGTAATTAGTCCGCGGTGTTATAAGTTGAAGTTTATTTTTTTTCCTCAAGTGGTGTGTATTTGTTTTTTTATGTAATTTTATATTCGATTGGATGGAATTCGTTATAATTTTCTTTACTAGGATGCATGTGTAGTATATATATAGTTGTCTAATATTTAGTATTTTTGTTTTTTCATATAATATTTTAGTTGGAGTTAGGTGATTATAATGGAATAAAACTTTTATAATTTTGTTTTGGGTCCTTTGTAATTTATTTAGATTAGTTTTCGCGGCTGATCCCCATATTTCAATTAAATATTCAAGATTTGATTTTACTAAAGAGTAAGAGAGTTCATACATTAACATTAGCGATAAGGCCGCCCGTTGCATCCCTTATAATTTGTATGTATTGTGTTTCTTTTATTTTTATTGCAACGAAATGTAAATAAATAAATAAATAATTAATTTCCAATATACCTCAAGAATCTCATTACAGCAGATCACATAATAAACACAGGAAATTCATTTCAGCCGATGTAAGCATCGCCGAACTACACAGACAGTCTATTATTGTAAATCCGGATTTTGAGAAAATTGAGAAGTATGAAAACTTTAGAGTTATGTTCAATCACGATTTTAATATTTCATTTGGAAATCCCAGAAAAGACATTTGTAGCGAAAAATTTAAAGTAGATATCAAGGTCAGGGAAACTGGCAAAGGATAGTACTAATATGAAAGAGCTACAGATAAAGAGAGAGCTGCATTTGAGAAAAGCAGAGACATTCTTTGATAACCTCGGAATGAGAAAATTAATTTTGACTAAAATTGACTTATTAAGGTCAAAGACTATAAAGCTCTACAATGATAGTATCAAGAATGTTGCTGGGATAGCCACTTGTCGTGAAGTGGGATTTTCCAGATTACACAAACCGTCGCACCGCAATACGATGACCGATCCATTTTCACAGTTTTCTTTTTATCGAGTTGGAGTTAGAAGTTCAGGTGTAGGAAAACAACCTCAAAACGCATATAGTGTACCACGAAAACTGAAACCAGCTAAGATTAAAGATATAATTTATACATTTACTTCGGTTTGTTCCTCATCAAGACAAACTATATTTCTATAGGAGACTGGGTACACTTGATCCCTAGGGGACACTTGGTAATCTTTATTAAAAAATCTACTAAATGCGCAATCTTTTTTTAAACTAGCAACACTTGTTTGTTTATGGCAAGGTTAACTTTCTGTCATAGTTTCGTTGGACAAATATCAGTAGTTTGCAAATGGCCGGCAATCGAAATTTTCTGTGGTGATTTATATAAAATTTGGTAAGTTTTAACACGACATATTTAATAAAGTGTGATGGATTCGCTTTTTTAAAATGTGTATAGCTTTTAGAGCATTGTTTTTCCTGTGGTTTGACGCTTGTTGTTATGAAATAAGTAGTAAAGTGTTTAGAGTGATGCATGTTTCATAACCTCAATGTATTTGGGGAGATTTGATCCTCTTCCATAGGGGTGAATTGATCCCAGGGATCATGTGTCCCATAAGAGGATCAAGTCTACCATACATAAAATATTTACTTTTACACTTTTATGGCGCAATTATTTATTGGTATTTAATTTTTAGAATACGATGCCGCGAAAGTATAAAACTAAAGAAGGTTCAAGAAAAAGAAAGCCAATCGATAAAGAAAAACTAAAACTTGCGGTAGCTGCAGTTCTGGCCGGAAATACACTAAAAGGCACTGCAAAACAATATTCGGTACCTCTCATGACTTTGAAAAGATATGCTAGAAAGCAAAAAGAAAATGACGAGGAAATATCATACGAACCCAACTACAAAAAATCGCAGATATTTTCAGACCAAGAAGAAAATGATTTGGAAGAATATTTGGAAACCGCTAGTAAGTTGTATCATGGCCTCTACCCTAAGAAAGTACGTACGCTAGCTTACCAGTTCGCTAGCAAGAATAAAAAGAAGATTCCTATCAGTTGGGAAGTTAAAAAAGAGGCAAGCTACGATTGGTTTTGGGGTTTTATGGAACGCCATAAGAAATTGTCGTTGAGAAAACCCGAGGCTACAAGTCTATCAAGGGCCACTAGTTTCAATCGCCATAACGTGCAGGCATTCTTCGCAAATTTAAAAAGTTTGATGGAAAGATTCAATTTCGATCCTTCGCAAATATTCAACGTGGACGAAACAGGTATAACAACCGTTCATAAGCCCAAAAAATTTGTTGCTTGTCGAGGCCTAAAGCAAGTGTCGAAAGTGACATCTGCCGAAAGAGGAGAACTTGTCACGGTCTGTTCGGCAATTAATGCAATTGGACAAAGTTTGCCACCTTTCATGATATTTCCCAGAAAAAACTGGCAAAACAGAATGCTTAATAATGCTCCTCCTGGAAGCAATGGTTGCCCAAATCCCAGTGGCTGGATGACTGCTGCTACATTCATGCAATTTTTAAAACATTTTCAGAAGTATGTCCGACCTACCAAAGAAAACCCGGCACTCATCATATTTGACAATCATGAAAGCCACATAAGCGTAGATTCCGTTCAATTTGCTAAAGATAATTGGATTCATTTATTGACCATACCCCCACACACATCGCAGAAACTGCAGCCACTTGATCGTATTCTCTTTGGAAGTCTTAAATCTCATTACGATACAGCTTGCGATGATTGGATGGCAGCCCATGCAGGAACACCAATAACTATTTATGAAATCAGTGAGTTATTAGGAAGAGCTTATCCGATGGCAATGACTCCAAGAAATATTACAAAGTCTTGAAATTACAGGAATTTACCCTCTCAACTCAGAGATTTTTACAGACGACGAGTTCTTATCGTCCTATGTAACAGACCGGCCTGAAACCGAACAACTCACTGACGCAGAAGATATGGCAACTGATGGGTCTCCTTCTGCTCCTCTCCGTCAAACGTCTCCTTCCCTTGTTCGTGAATTGTCCCCTGTCTGTGTTGTAACTGACCGGCCGGAAACAGAACAAAATACTGTCGCAGAAGTTATTGCGACTGATGATTTTCCTCCTGCTTCTATCCGTCAAAGGTCTCCTTCCCTTGTTCTTGAACCTACTAAATCGTTTTGTCCGGCTACTCTGACTCAGCAATCACTCATGGCTGTTCAAAGGCTCACATCTCTTGCAATAAATACATCTGGAGATTCTATTATTACAAAAAATAAGTCCTTTGAACCTATGACAGATTCTGTGATTGCAACGAATCGTTCTCTTATTAATGATGATTCAACGGCCTCTCCAAAGATTTCACCTGTAGGCAAAAAGACTGATTCGACGTATTTCAGTCCCGTTATGATCAGACCGTATCCAAAAGCAGGGCCTAGAAAAAAGGGAAAGAAGAAGGGTGCAACTAAAATATTAACAGACACACCTGAAAAAGAGGCTCTAGAAAAAAACTTTAGAGAAAAAGAAGAGAAAAAAAGGAAAAAATCTGCAGCTACTGTCAAAAGAAACCTGAACAAAGAAAAACCAAAGAAAAAAACAAAACAAAGAACTACTGTAAAAACAATTTCTGATGAAGACGACACGCAAATACCGTCGCTAGATTCAATTAAAGAGAGTGAAGAAGAGAACTATAAAGAAAACGAAGAAAGAAAAAGGAAACAATCTGCAGCTAAAAGAAATCTAAACAAAGGAAATCCAAAGAAGAAAGCAAAACAAAGTACTGCTGTGGAAACGAGTTCTGATGAAGACGAAATGCAAATTCCTCCATCGCCAGACTCTATTTACGAGGGCGAAGAAGAGGATTTAGACACAGATTCCGAAGAATCTGAAGATGGGGATGATATAAATATTCACGTAGGAGATTGGGTAGTAGTAAATTTAACATCAGCGAAAAACTTAGTGCATCGTTACGTCGGTCAAGTCGTTCATGAGCATTTAGCTAGCTTGGACATTAAGTTTGCAAAAAAAATTACCGACAAGAAATTCAAATGGCCTGAAAAAAATGACTCAAGTTTAATTGGAAAGTACCAAGTTGTGAAAAAACTTCCTACTCCGCAATTTAAGTCATCCTCTAGACGCGTTGGTTCCTTTGAATTTCCAAAATCACTCAGAAAGTTTAAAATTGAAAAATAAGTTAGGTATATAATTATTCATTATAAGTAACAATATTATCAAAGAGCACAAGACTATACGACTGATTTCTTAAGTAAGCTTCAAGTATTATAATGTGATTATAATAATTAAGGTAAAAATGTGAGAGACTTATTTTATTTTTGTTACCGTTGCTGGCAAAACCCTATTTTAGGCCAATCTAGTATATACTATACTATATTAATCGGGTCTAGCCGGTTACTTATATATTTTATAGGTTTTTGAAGTTTGTGTTTATTTTTAATTACCAACAGTTATCTTCTTAGGTAAATTTGTTTAAATATTGAAAACTCATTACTTAAGTCATGATAAAACTAGATTTTATAGAAGTCATAAGTTTAACTGATTTATTTACGTTACGTTTTTTAATATTTAAGTATAAACAAATTGTGTTTAATACTAGTCCTTTGGTAATTTGTTTTTAAGTAAAAATTTGAAAATTAAAACTGATTCAAAATTATGTGATTTATATTTTAGCTGCCCTTATAATTAGTTCCCTTTATAAAATTGGATTTCTAGCAAAAAAGAAAATAAAGTAAACTCACGTGATTCATGTGTCCCCTATGTATGGGAGATTTGATCCCCCGGGATCAAAGCTCCCTTATGGTTGGGAACAAGTGTCCCTGATATAAGGGACACATGATACACGTCCATGGTATGAAGTTTTATGAAATTATGACTAAAATTGTAAACAAATCATGCCCTCTTTCGGATTGTTGATAGATATTTATATTCGAAACATAGAAATATAAAAATTTTAGCAATAATGTAGAGAGTAATAAATTTAGAGACCAAAATACAAAGGTGGGATCAACCCTCCCCAGCCTCCCTTATAATAGCGATTTCCTGACTATCGATGAAAGTCATTCCCCAAATCAGCAAATTGCAGCAATGTTCAAAATCCGGTCAAGCTGCCTCAAAACGACGAAAGTATATCCATTATGATGCATTACTTTTTTTTAAAGAAACACACAGAACACGCTTCAACATCGCCAAACTTGCTCAATAAGGAAAGTCAAGATGATTTTGAGGATGACGACAGTTTGGTTAACACCACCGTCCACGTTCTCCTGAACCATCCACGTCTAATAAAAAGAAATCATTAGTCCAAATGTTTCTGGAATCTAATAAAGAGATATCGAATGTTATGCGCGAGAGTATACAAAGAAATAGTGTTCAACAAAAATATAGTGACAATCGTGGAAATCAGGCATCTTTAGTTCGCTGCTATCGCTTATGGACAAAATAAACATAATTTAATTGATGCCAGAACTGAGATTATGTATGTAATTAAGAAATACATCCCGCCATCACATACATTGGTAGAAGAATATTCTCGTACATCAACACCAACAAGCAACACGTCTAATAAAAAGAAATCATTAGTCCAAATGTTTCTGGAATCAAATTAAGAGATATCGAATGTTATGCGCGAGAGTATACAAAGAAATAATGTTCAACAAAAATATAGTGACGATCGTGGAAATCAGGCTTTTTTTAGTTCGCTGCTATCACTTATGGACAAAATAAATGAACATTATTTAATTGATGCCAGAACTGAGATTATGTCTGTAATTAAGAAATACATCCCACCATCACATACATTGGTAGAAGAATATTCTCGTACACCAACAAGCGACGATGATATTGCTCAAATGTTAGAACACTTTTAGCGTTTAACTAAAATAAAACTGTTTTAACTTACTGTAGTGTTACTGCTAATCTTTTACATGGCCCGACACGTTTCCTCATAGGTTGCTTATATATTGTTGCTTTACCTTTGCAATAGTTCTTCAAGCTTATTTCCATAATCGTGATATCGGGGATATGCTCGTAATAGTAATATCTTTTCAAAAATTTTTGATAACACTGGTAGGACTGATATAAAATAAAATAAAAATAAAAATAGCCTTTATTCGAGTACACTATAACTACAGTAAGTCCATGTCTTTTAAGTTTTACACTTGTACTCGACCTCCGATGGAGTGAAGGCCTCCTCCAGATTCTTCCACTTATCCCTATTTGATGCGACAGTTTTTTCCTGCTATCCCTTTTATATCATCTTCCCAAGTTTTCGGTGGGCATCCTCTCTTTCTTCTTCCTACTGGGCCCTTCCAAGTAAGGGTCTTTTTGACCCATCTGCCATCACAAATGCGGCCAATGTGACCGGCCCATTTCCATTTTAGCCTTTTTGTATAAGTTACAACATCTTTTATTTTTGTACGACTTCGTATCACCTGGTTTTTTATTTTGTCTTTAAGTTTCAATTGAAGAATGGAGCGCTCCATAGCCCTTTGGCATACTCCAATCTTTTTTATTAACGCCTTGTTAAAAATCCAGGTTTGGCATCCGTATGAAAAACATGGAAGTATGCATGTGTCCATGACGGTAGGACTGACATTGGTCGGTAATTACCAGGATCAGAACGATTGCCTGACTTATAAATCGGAGTAACCTTAGCTACTTTAAGGCTGTCTGGGAATATACCTTTATTTAGACATTGTTTAATGCAACACGTTAGGTTGTTGACAACCAGGTTTTTAACACACTTTAGTGCTTTCGTACTTATGCCATCAATACCTATGGATGTGTTGCTATTTAAATTGCTAATAATTTTAAGGATTTCATCCGTGGTAGTCGATATTTCTGATAGAAATGTTTGAGACTTTATTTTAGAGCGAGAAGTAATTATGTTTGTAGTAGTATTTGTAGGTTTTGAGATTTTTGAGGTTAGAATGTTCCCGATAGTAGAAAAATATGAGTAAAAACATTTACAGATCTCTATTGGATTAGTTATTACAGTTGAATTGATTTCTAATTTTGTAGGCATAAGAAAAAAAGATACTAGATCTTTTACTTTATTATTTGCTATACTATTTAGTAGATTAAACATTTTAGTTGGTTTTTTTATACAGTTTTGAAAAAACTTCCACTTCTACGCTTTACCTCGTAGTTTATCTTGTAAAATGATTTAAGTGTAATGGTTGGGAAACTGTGAATTTAACCGATTTGTTAAATTTTTCGAACTACGTACGAACGAACAATCTTTCGAACAATATTCCACCCTTGTACCGTATATTCCTTACTGTCAGGGTCAAATTCCGGAATCAAAGATGCAGCACGATGTACTTTTGACTTATATGGAGCTTGACAGTCATCTGAACGATCGCGTAGAGCCTTTACTACTTCTTTTTTTAGCAGATTCTTGAGCAGCTTCCGTGCCGGCGAGTATCCTCATCTTCCTCTTGATGTCGTTTCTTCCCAATTCTGGGTATAATTTACTTATTATTTTATTGATAATTGTATTTTAATTTATAAAATGACAGAGCGACAGCACACTTGCTTTTCGCTGCGTCTTTGAAAGAGTAAGTTTAATTATGGCTGGGTTTGGCTTTAATAGTTCCATCCCCTCCAAGTGGCTGGCATTTGCAATTGGCAGGCATGGTTGGATGGGTGATCAACATGGTGGCTTGGCTTGGCAGTTACACTATTATGAATATTGTGAAGATGATATTGATATTGACCGTAAAACCTACGTGACTGGCATAGGGGCCGCTTAAAGGTAAGTAATAAGTTTATTTATTGGTACATCTCTTATTTTACGTATTTTGTTTATAACTTCCAATTTAGAGTTTATATAAGGTCCTTACATATGAAATTGGCGTTTTACGTTTTGGCCACTTTGACCTCAAATATCTCCTCTTTGGTTAAGAATTCCAAATTAAAATTTGTACAAGCACAGGATCATTTCAACAAAAGTGATTTTAGAAATTTATATGCTTAGTACACATATAGATAAATATTATTGGCTGTTAACACATGAATCAAGATAATGAAGGTCTTGAATTTGTATCGGTCTCTTCGTCGGATTTCGAATCATTCCGTAGCACTGAAATATCTCGCCCTCCCTTGCATAGTATCCTCAGAGCTTTATTCAAAGACCAATCCAGACACTTGAATGTCATCCATATTGCACCTTTAGAATAGTACAGACGTATCTCAAAAAATCATTATTTTGGGAAAACAAAAATTAAGTTTAGAATCTGCAAACTTTCAACTTTGAACTGATTTAATTAATTAATTTTGTATATCATTATTTGATTTCTGTATTAACTTAAGTATATCTTTTGTGAAATATGAGCAAAAAAAATAGTATGTTGCATTATTTTTAATTAAAATTAAGGTTTTTAAAAAGGTTCCCAATTTAAGTCAGTATTATACTGAAACTGTCTTTTTTTAAAAGACCGTTATCGTCTTAGGTCTCTTTTATTCTGAAATCATTGTACTGTTTGTATCCTATTTATGAACAGTGCACTACAAGTATAAACTGAAAATATGCTGTCGTGTCACATAAGGAAATAAGTCATTTTATATTTTAAAAAATCTGTGATTTTATACACTTTTTTATTTTCAAAAGGCTTATATTAAGTCACTTTGGTACAGACAATAAACATATTATTAATGCTCACCATTTGGACTTGTTGACAACATTTGTATCCAATGAAATTCACGCTATCCTGATATCAGAGACTGGCTGTCTCCTCTCTCAGCTATTCTATCCCCGGTTTTAACCTAATAAGAAATGATCGAGTTGGAATGCGTGGCGGTGGCGTCGCTATTTACCTACGATCGGACATCCCTTACACTATCTTTATATATATAATTCTTCTGTGAGTGTGTATGTCACTGAACTTCTCTCAAACGACTGGACCGATTTTGATGAAATTTTTTGTGTGTGTTCAAGGGGATCTGGAATGGTTTAGATTCACAAATCAGCCCGCCAGATGGCGCTGCAGTGGGTTTTTTCATACGTTGCTTTACTAATCGCTTGAAATATCATGCAGGACAACGTCTGTCGGGTCCACTAGTTATCAATATGTCTCCTAAACCACCACCACCTAATGCATGCGAGCATCTTCTGATCGAGGTTATGCTCAGTAAAACTAAAATTCTCCTCGGAGTGAAACTCCTTCTCTTTTAGTCGACTATCCGCAGGTTTTGATAATACTCTTGAAAGGTTTGTGCCTCTCTATAAAAACATAGTAGTTTTGGTCAATACCTGCTTAATAAAAGTCAACTGCCGATCGAAAAAGTTGCTCTCCATTAACGACTCCTCATAACCTTTTGATTGTATTTTAAATGTTTGTCTATAAATAGTTCTATTTATTATTATTGTTATTTTTCCTTTAGACTTTACTTTAGTTATAGTAACGGGTTATTTTGAGTTTTTATTTTTATTTGTTTGTTAATAATTTTTGCAATTCTTGTGCTCTACCCTCTGTAGGTGTTTCTTTTTAATTGTTCCACATTAGGGTTGCCTGGAAGAAATCGCTTGTTAGCGATAAGGCCGCCCGTTGCCTTACAACTTTTGTAACATGTTTTTTTTTGTATTTTTGTTATGTGTAAGTTTGTGAATAAGGTAATAAAGCATAAATTAATAAATAAATTAACCTGCCAATTAGCGCCACGCATAAAGTCCCAGGTTTCCACTACTTCCCTATTGGATCTTACATTTATCTTTTTCCTGACCTAGTTACTAACCATGGCCAACTTACTGCTGTTGCTTTTTCTCATCACCACCTCCTTTATTTGTCTCTCAATCTTAAGACAAATGAAAAATGGAAAACAATCGCTGAAGATTTTGAAGGAAGATCTCATTTTCCTCACTGTTTAGGTGGAAAACATATACGGATTAAAAAATTTACAAAGTCTGGTTCAATGAATTTAAATTATAAATTCATTTTTGTTAACATTGGTTCTTATGGGAAAGATTGTGATGCTGCTATTTTCCAACGAACGCAGTTTTACAAATTGCTTTCTGAGGGTAGACTACAAATTCCAACACCATCTTTATTGCATCCAAATCAAAGTGTGGAAACACCCTATGTTCTAGAGATGAAGCTTTTCAGCTTACTTACTCACAATCTATTGAGGCCCTACAGTGGAAATCAGCTTACCATACAACAGTGTATATTCAATTATAGATTAATCCGAGCACGACGATACGTTGAATGTGCTTTTGGTATATTGGCAAACAAATGTAGAAACTTTCACCGCCCTTTGAATGTTTCCAAAAAACTAGGAAAAAATATAGTAAAAGCATGTGTAGTTTTACACAATCTTGTTCGCGTCCGAGATGGATATAGGTCTGCAGATGGATATGTGGCTACTGAAACAGCTTTTGTGGACCTTCCTGATTCTAATGTTGTTCAAGGAGGACAAATGATATCAGAAACAACTTCGCTGAGTATTTTACAAGTCCTGAGGGATCCTTGCCGTGACAAATGTCTAAAATATAAAACTAATCCGTTTATCTCTGAATTCTTAAATACATTGGTGTGTACTTACATATTTCTGTTTTTTTCTCTCCTCGAGTGTATCAAAATTTGGTTCCAATATCTTACAAACTTCGTACCAAGAGTTTCTTTTTAATATTTTGTTCTTATAATCCTCTATTGTTTTATCCCGTTAGGGACGTTTTCCACACATACTATTAATGTAAATAAATCGTATGGAAACATTTTTTTTATGACACCTCGAAACAAACGTACACAATACCCAGGTACTTGGATGCACGGTGCCAGGGTTGCCAACTCCTACAAAATGTTTCCCCTAGGACCAAATTAAAATCCCTCAAAAATATGGAAATTTTTAAAATCTCTGGGTGTCGCTAAGCCGCCACGTACTTCCATGCATCCCAATATCGAAGTAAACAGCCTAAACGCCCTTTTTTACCACTCATTCTACTTCAAGTCATATCGATCTCGACTAAAAAAAACTGATAAGGATACGCCGCGAAGTCTTAAGCCCTAGTTGCCTGTCATAGAGTTAGTATCTTTTGACGGGGATATTAAGTCTTGGCCTTTATTTACTTGAATTTTATTATCTTGGACTTTAAGACCACCATAATTGTGAATCAATCCCTTACGGACGCTGAAAAGATTTATTATCTATTAGGGAAACTTACAGATAAAGCTAAATCAGCTTGCGAAGAGTTTATACCTCGCGCTGAAAATTATGAAATAATTTACAAAACATTTGTTGATAAATGGACAAGCCAAGACAAGATAGAAAGACAAACGTTATCTCGCAACTTCGTATTTGAATCAAATTTAGGATATTAAGGCGATGTCTATCGCAAACGCCTTGAGCAATTTTTTGACACTTTTTCTTCGTCACTTGCCGGTCTTAAGCATTTAAAGGTAGATAACCTAGCCGATTTTATATTTATGTATATTGCTTTAAAGAAGTTAGATACTGAAACAGTTCGTTTATTCGAATTGTATAAACGCAGTTCCGATATACCTACATGTAACGAGTTCATAACTTTTATTCGCCAACATCTAAAAACATCACAACTCAGATAAAGTTAAGTCTGGAGAAATAAAGATGGCATGTTTCTTAGCAAAGCACAACCTAGCATTTAATTTATCAGAAGATCTCAAGGACCTTATCTGTTGCCCAAGATTCAAAGCTTGCATCAGAATTATCTTTTGGACGGACAAAGGCACATGTTATTGTTGCAAATGTTACTGGAAAAGTGGCTGAAAACCAATTAATCGACATATTGCAGAGAAATAAGTTTTCACTCATAGTTGATGAGAACACAGACAGATGAACAATTAAACATTTGGCACTTATTGTAAGAACTGCAGTTGATTTTCATGTTGAAGATCCTATGTTTAATACCAGCCATCGATGGTACGGCTACAGCCTTATATAATGCATGTACAAAACATTTTGAAGAGAAGAGTATTCCATACAAGGATAATATCGTTTGATTTGCAGCTGGCGGAACTAATTTAATGTTTGGACAACTTCATTCTCTGTTCTCATGGTTTGCGACAGAGGTTCCGAATCTGTTTCTGATGAAATGCATATGTCATTCGTTTCATCTGTGTGCCTCATATGCCTGCAAAAAGATACCACGAGGTGTGGCTCTTTGCTCGTGACACGTACAACTACTTACAAAATAGTCCAAAACCCACCCTGCCCAAACAAGATGGCTGTCCATGTTACAAGTTGTGAAAAGACTTCTTGAACAACTATCAGCATTGAAACTATATTTTCAAAGTGCTGTTTTAACTGACCGATTGCTTGCAGCTCAGTCAATCTTTGATAAATGTATGGAACCAACCACAGAACTATATTTAGAGTTCCTAAATTTTGTGTTGCCATACTTTGTTGATTTGAACAAAGAGATGCAATCAGAGAGCCCAAAACTCTACTTGCTATATGAAAAGATTTTTGTAACCTACAAGACAATACTAGAATGTGTTATGAAGCCAGAATATTTGGAATTAACAGAATAGGAAAAATCTGACATTCAAGTCCATGACAAAGCTGATGCATTGGATCGGTTGTATTTGGTGGAAGAAATATGCAAAATTATTGAAGAATCTTCAACTAAAAAGAATTTCACTGTAGTTAGATAGCAAGTAGTGACGTTATAAAGTTCAAAGATTAGTGGGATGCCTACTACAAAAAAAAATATCTCTAGAGTCAGATGGAAAGGTAAGGTAATGGTAAAAAGATGCAAAAGAAAATTTCAATATATCAACTTCCATTCACTTGTTTTATCAAGACAGAGGAACAATCATTGCACGTAAATACATTGACAATGATTTCAATAAACACACCCTCAAATTTGGAAATAGAAGTGACGTGTCTCTTCAAATTTTGAAGGTATAGTAAGGGGTATGTGCATATCAATATAAAGAAGGTGAGTGACCTGAAAAACCTTCTGAACCATTGGCGTGGGTAGTGCAAACGTGTATGGTGTACTAAAATAAAATAGTATTTCGGTTTAAACTTTATTACTTACGGTTCGAGTTATGAACTAATGTCCCACTACACATTATTCGCTATTATTCTTTAATAATATATAATAAGCTGTAAAAACTCAACTAAAGCGTACGAGTGGGGTATACTGGACTGAACTGGTTTTCAGGCTATAAAAGTGGCGCACTCACTTCTTCGCCGCTCGCACTAGATAATATAGACGTTACTTATAGTTATTGTTGTTGAATTTGTGGTTATGTGTTCTTTATTAATTAATAGAAATTTTGTGGTAAATTTCGTGTAATCTAATTTGGTTTTTTTTTTAGTAATTTTATTTGTTAATTTCTTACCATATTTTATTTAATTTTTGTCTAGCATCCAGTCTCGTATAATAGATATTAAGCTAGTCATAGGCTAGCCGCACACACGCAATAATATTGATAATAATGCTAATATTGTCAATAATATTGCATGCGTGCGGTCCATATTGCCGTACTGATCAACAATATTGCGAATTTCCGGAAATTCTGAAATATGCCGTCAATATTCAGGGGGAGGCAGGTTTATTGTCAATATTATTGTGTGTGTGCGGGCCTTACTTCAATATTCTAGTTTAACATAATTTATCTATGAGTGCACGTCAAATGAGTTGTTTTCTATGTCTCAAATATTATTGTTTGTTTTGATTTTTGTCGGATTTTTGTAAAATAGAAGACGAAGATCTGATGGAAAATTATGACGGAGACAGTGTGGAAAATGTTCCCCCTAATGATAAAGAGTCTTTAATGGAATTCATTAGATTGTGGGAAACTTATCCGGAACTATGGAATATATCATCTAAAGCATATCGCGACAAAGTGAAAAAGAACATTGCACTCGATAATTTACTTGTGATATATAAAAAAATTTAACCATCAAGCACGAGAGAAGATGTAAAAAAGAAGCTGAATTCTTTGAGAACTAATTTCAGAAAAGAATTAAAAAAGGTCTTCCAATCTAAAGCTTCGGGTAAAGGAACTGATGAACTTTACGTTCCATCCAGCTGGACTTATTATGAACTACTGTTTTTAAAAAATGATGATCAACCAAAATCATATCGTGATACAGTTAAGAAAAATAATGCGCTTGATAAGTTGCTCGATATTTATATAAAATCAAACCAAATAGCACGAGAGAAGACGTAAAGAAAAAAATTAATTTCCTACGAACAAATTTTCGGAAAGAAATAAAGAAGATTCACAAATCGAAATCATCGGGAAAGGGAACAACAACAACAAATTGGAAAATGAAGAGTGGGTTCAATTAACTGAGCGCTTCAATGCATCGGCTACGAGCGATCGTAAAAGTATTAACAGACGATCGAACTTGGTACGGGCCCGACAGCGGATTCCGTACGCTCCATAACATATCCGTTCGTCTGGAGAGTTATTATTTCGTGTTCGCTCGGTCCGATGGTTTGCACATCGAATTTGGTCCGCTCCGTACCAAATCCGCGAGTCTGTACGCTCGGCACGGCAGTCACGTTTGAAACATTCTGGAGGTAGCACGTGCGTCAGCGCATGTTCGCACTATGGCGGAGATTTTAACAGAACGCGAAGTCCTTGTCGATGTTTTGGCACTGTATAAAGACTTTCCGTGCTTGTGGGATACATCACATGAATTGTATTGCAACAGAGATGCTCGTAATCAAGCTCTACAGATTCTTCGGGATTGTCATTCAAGATTTGATAGAAGTATCACTGTAAATGATGTGAAAAAGAAAATAGAGAATATGAGAGCCGCGTACAGACGAGAGAGGAAAAAGGTTAGTTAAAATCAGTCTTTCATTTTAGTATTTAAGACTCCGCAGCAGCTGCGATTAAAATGAGAGAATTTAAAAAGAATCCCACAAACGCTGCACTAAAATTTGTATGAACCTAATTAAGGTTAGTCAGTGATAGTAGTTTATACTTATTTTTCAGATTTATCAGAATTTAGTACAACTTATATTCTATTTATCTTATATGGCTTCGGTTCCGGTGTCAGCCAGTAAACATCTGTTATCGTTAACTCGTCCGAAAATTTTCAATTCGCTGTCAACAACAAACAACCTAAAACTATCATCAAAGCGGAGGGACGTGGCAAATATACATAGTTACAATGTCACACATATACCCAGAACGCACCATAAGCGTTAATGCAATCACTACGACGAATGCTTAGTTTTATTATTCTATCATGTACGACGAATGTTTAGTTATCATGTAAGGGTTTTTAGCATTAAGAATACAATTATATTCAAATCAGTCTAATATCGACCACCGTAGTAATAGGGTCTTGCATCGACCACCTTAGAATTAGAGTCTAACATCGACTATAGTTAAGAATACTAATTGTAATATTCCTTAATAAAGTTTACTTTTTAAAAAACCTTTTAAATACCGTCGCGATTTGACTACGTGGACAACACAAAATATTGGAGGACTCAAGTGCAAATCAAAACAAATTCTTCGTTAATAACACCATTGAACAGGTTAGAAAATAATATTATTAGTCACTGTGACATTTTGTAGTAACAACTTAACCACACTAGTGTTACCAACGCTGATTTATGTTGCCAAACCTTTTTTTTTTAACGTCAGCAAATGCTTTTACGCATATCCCACTAAAACATGACGGATGCCTTCAGCTCGCCAAACGGCGGAGGCAGTGTTGCCCAACCTAAACTAGTGTTGCCAGCCCTAAACAGGTGTTGCCGTGGGTGGCTGAGGGAAGGGAAATTGTATCAAATATCAAAAACAACCCTCAGCCACCCCACCCATGTTCAATCCAACCATTGTATATGCACATAATAAACACTTGTTCTGAATAAAATTATTTAGCTTAGCTTCCTCGGCCCCGGGACGTAAGTCGCCGGGGAGGTAGGCCTACTAGAACCAATTAAAAAAAAAAAAAAAAACAGGTGTTGCCAACCCTTAACTAGTATCCGCGTCCAAACGCCATGCGAAACGGTCTAAATCCACGCCGCTCCGCGCTTAATTTAAAAAAAAAATGCAAAAAAAGTGGGATTTAGTGTTCACCCCACTCGTCCTCAGCGGCTGCCAGGCGGTCCCTAGTTGACACCCTGAGCCTGCCCTTCACCCGTACAGGCCACACATATAGAGATGGCGAGGACTAAAGGCGAAGAGGACTGAACGCCCACGCTGCCTCTCGCAACCTCAAGGGCAATCTTAAAACCGCCATCACAGAGGCAATAGACGGCCTCTTCGGAGTCGTCGCCCTTCTAGATCCCTCAGCCCCCTCTCCCCCTAAACCCCTCACACCACAGGCCAACAATTGGGGACAAGCCAAACCGGGCTGCACCCAGGACCGTACCCAATCCGACAGAAACCACTGCTGCTCAAGGACCACTTGAAAACCCAAAACCAGCCCCTGGAGCTATCAGGGCAACAGGTGGTAGGAGATGGGCACCGAAGCCGACGGCGTCGAATGCCGCGCACGAGACCCGCTAACAGCAAAAAACCAAAAATCAATGAACAAGTGAAGGGCCAGAGGACTCAGTAACGCCGACTGGGGAACGGAAAAGGGTAAAACCTAACGGACCTCGAACGGTGGCAGGGATATCGGTCGCGGAAGCGGCGGCAGCTTGCAAAACAAATGAGTTCTGTGTTGCTGTAATCACCGAGCCCTACCTTGATATGACCCAAGAACAGGCGGAAGCTATCCGCCTACAAATCCAGAGTAAGCTGCATGACGAGCTAATGGCGGATTTTGCAGCTCCTCTAACAGCAGAACCCAATGACATCAGGTTCCGGGGCAAAGCCCACTTTGCAGATGGTGTCCTGAAAATGTGGTGCGAGGACGCCTACGCGTTGAGGTGGCTGACCGGTACCTGTGATGTCATCACCAACCCCATACCAGACACCAGGTTGGTAGTTCGGCCTCAGTCAGCAAATCCCAAGAAAGGTTCCATGCCTATTACACGTCCCAGAATATACTGGTAGCACAGAGAACCTAATGAGACTGATTTTGAGGCAGAACCGCCACTTAAACATCAGATCGTGGACCCTGACGCACGAACGGAGAACAAAGGACCCGACAGCTCTCTCTCGTCTATCGTGTGCCGTAGTCCGAGATCGTAACGATCAAAAAACAAGACAGGCGTGTATACTATCTGCTGGGGAACATTTATATCCGCATCGCCGCTTACGCCCCACCTCAAGCCATCGCCAGTACATCGGGGACGGTGACGCCGAGGCCAATGCCTTCCACGTCACTGACGGAGAAGGCTGCGGATGGCCGAGAGGCCGAAGAAGAGTACCGTGTGGTGCAGCGGTACCTCGGGGAGTTGGAAAGTAGCGGCGTCTACGTCGTCTATTTCTCCTACTCCCTACCAGCTGAGAGGCAGCTTAAGGCAGTGCGAGGCGTTCCGGCGGACACGGAGCCCGAGGCCATCATGACAGAGCTGCGCGACCTCGGGTTCGAGCCGGAACACTCTCAGCCCATACGCGCCAGGAAGGGGAGACCGGGGTGCATTTTCCTAGTAATTCTGCGCCGCACCCCCGACCTCACCCCCGCTATATACAATGTTAAGGAGTTACTATGTATACCGGGGGTCACTATCGAGTCCTGGCGGGGCAAAAGGGGCCCCGCTCAATGTCACCGGTGCCAAGGGTTCCGGCACTCCTCGCACCAATGCCACCGGGCTATAGCCTGTGTGAGGAGCGGGGAGGGACACCGCACCGCAGATTGCCCCCCTGCCAAAGGGGGCAACGCCGAAGTGCGCCAACTGTAAGGGGGCTTGTAAACATTCTCTTGCATAACATCGTTCGCTGTGCACAATTATTATTGTAATGTTAGGCTAGCGTCGCCAATAAATTAATAGTTATTATTTTGGATCCGACTTTTAATTAGTTCCGATAGCTAGTGAAAAATAGCCTCCGCTATTTAGTAGGTGGTTTAGGGATAAATAATACCTAACCGCTACATTGGTGACCCCGACTTTAAGAACTTTGTGGCGAACAATAATATCACTCCTCTTCTCCACCGCGTCGGTGATTTTACCGCTATGTGTGACGGCACGGGCGCGGTGGGTGGAGCCTGCAGCCAGTGGCAGCGGGCAGTGCGTTTAGAACTGTCAAAGGCGAAACCCGTGCGCGATTTAAGAACTATCCCTTAGTGACGTTTAATTTATCTATTCTTGTACTTTCTTGTGCTTTCTTTTCTCTAATTGTATTACAACTCTTATCATTCAACTTCGTTCCTTCTGTATATGTTGTTATCATTATTATATACTTTCAAGAAGTTTTCTTTGTCTTCCCACTGCGGCCACTACCTAGCCTAGAAACTATTATTATATGGTGCTCGCCTCTCGCGCACCTATAACTTCATTATGACGGAACAAGGTGAGACAAAAAAACGTCTTTATGGAGGCCTGCAGAGTAGGAGTGAGGTAGGGTTGCCAACCATACTATATAATAACGTATCCTACTTTATTTTTGGTAATTATACTTTATACTTTTACATACAAATAAAGTATGCAAAAATACTTTATTGTCAACCTTTACTGTGGTGCGTAAAACAAAATACTCATTATGGGTACTTAACGATTCATAATTGCTGAACGAAATATTTAAAACGGATAATGGAAACAATTTGTAATTACTGAACGAAATGTTAGATGTCAGTTGTGACTTGTGACATTTGTCAATTGTCACAGATGTCTTTCATTATCGACGAAATTGTACAAAACTGGTCCGTTAGTTTTGTTTATAAGTGAAGAATGCATTTTAAAGTAAATATTAATGCTGAAAATGAGGAGTAAATATTAATGCTGAAAATGACGAGTAATTCTGATAGCGACACACCAGTGACTCCTAAAAAAGCTAAAATAACAAAAGTTTTACAAAAATATAAACCTGAGTGGGAAAAACAATACAACTGGCTAACAAGTGATCTTCAAAATAAAAGTAATGCAAAATGTATTATCTGCGGCGTGAATTTTACAATCAGTTCAGCTGGCATTGGACAGGTATGAAAATTTGTAAATGTGTTCAAATATTGTTAAAGCTACGTTGCCTCTCCTTTCGTATAGTTATTTTATTTACATTTTTAACTTACTTACCTAACCTAATTCATTAGGTTTTCTTACATCTTTACAGAAAAAAGTCACCAGTTTGTATATGATAGGACTTTGTACTGAAAAGTTTTAAAAACAGTTATAGTTGCATGTATTTTTGAAATTTAGTTTGTATTGACAATTTATACATTATTTTTTAAGCATGAGCATGGGAAATTAGTTTCAATGTTTCAAATTCTATGAGTTATTTTAAAAATAATCTTATTACTTGTTATTATAATAATATAAAAATATATATATTTTTCATACTAATTGTCAGAATTCTGAAATGTTTATATTCTCATTCACATAATAGGGATGATGACTAAAAAATAATAATTAGTCCATCTTTTAGAACGCCAGAAAATAGTAGATACGTATTTTTTCTTTTGCTTCTAAAACTTTAAATAACAAAGTTACAGAGCGGCGAAAGTTCGCGCTACGTCATTATTTCGTAAAATTTTTACGAAAGAGTGACGTCACGAGCCCCTACTCCTGAATTTGAATGTGCTGTATCTTTGTCAATATTATTCGTATGGACAAATAAAAAAATACGTATCGAGTATTTTTCTATAATCTAACTGACGGACTAATTAGAATCTTGTTGTTTTAACCCAGGAGACATCCCTATTGTTTTTGGATAAAATTATATTAATAGACATTTTAATATTTGTCATTCAATTGAAGAATATTTGAAGAATTCATGATTCAGTATTATTTTGAAAATGGTGATGGATTAATATGGTGGAGGTTCCAGTTTTTGTTTTTTCTTTCTACAGATTAAGCAACATCAAAATACTCAGAAGCATAAGATAAAAACTGAAATGAAGAAAACATCTGGTGCATTACAAAATTTCCTTACATCAGATACTAAATCAAGATGTCAAGGATCTAGTGATGATGAGAATATTATAGCAGCGGAATTAGCATTGACTTTTCACACTGTGAAGCATAATTTATCTTATAATAGCATGGATTGTCTAAGTAAATTAAACAAAATTGTATTTGTAGATTCTAAAATAGCTAGTAAAATACGCTTGGGAAGAACTAAAATGGAAGCTTTAGTGATAGAAGTGTTAGGTCCATATTCTGTGGAAAGTGTAATAAATGATTTACATGATGATGTATTTTTCTGTCTCCAGACTGATGCATCAAATAAAAAAATATTAAGTTATTTCCTCTTGTAGTGCAATATTTTTCAATAAATGAAGGGATCCAAAATAAACTGATCGATTTTTACGAAAATTCTAATGAATCTGCTGATGGCATGTTAGAAGCTATAAAGAAGTCTATGGATTCCCACAACCTGTCATTCAATCAAGTATCAGGTCTCAGTGCAGACAATTGCAATGCTAATTTTGGCATTCATCACTCATTGTACACAAATATTAAAAAAGAAGTACCAAACCTTATAAAAGGCAACTGTCATGCACACATTATCCATAATACAGTGAAACATGCTATGGGCTACTTGATTTGTGACATAGAAAATATTGTTTTGAAAATATACAGTCATTTTTCGGTATCTGCTTGTAGACGAGATGATTTAAAAAATTTGTTACTATGGTTGATGGTGAATTTCACGAAATCAAACGTCATATTGGTACACGGTGGTTATCACTACTTCCAGCCGTTGACACACTTTTACTTAATTGGGAACCAATATGTAATTATTTTATAAGTTTAGGTGATAATTGTGCAATAATTATACAAGAATTATTAAAACTAAGTGATCATCAGGATAGGGAGGTTGTGGAAATTTATCTACACTTTACAAGCCACATGCTTAATATTTTTAATAAAACGATAAAACGTCTGGAAGGAAATGATGTAACTATACTAGATGTCTATAATATTATGGATAATTTAAGAAACGAATTAGAACAAAGAAAAACTGATAAGTACTTTGGTTATGAATCAAAAATGAGATTACAAAAAATTCAAAAGTCATCACCCGAAACATTCAATACAGTTGTCAGTAACTTTTCGCTTTTTATTGATATGAGCTTAAAATATATGATAAAATGGTTTGAGTTTAGCGAAGATAACTGGCTTTCAATACTTCCTAACATGTCTTTGAAAAATGAGGTAAAATTTGAACATTTTGAAATGGTTATTACAAAGGCCAAATTACAAGACAGATTAAATATTAAGATGGACGATATGTATTCCGAATCTATAAGACTTAGAGAAATCCAAAGAAAAGTCACTAATGATGATAAAGAATTTTTAGTGAAAAGTACAGTAGAAAAATGGCAATATATACTTAAAAATGCATCTGATAGCTTACCAAATATAAAAAAAAATTATTTCTTACCTACTCTCCGTTCCTGCAACTTCAGCTTATACTGAAAGAGTTTTTTCTGTAATGAATCTGAAGTGGCGAGAAGAGAGAAATAGAGCATCAATAAATTTAATTAAAAACGAATTGTTTATCTATTTAAATTTAAATATTGATTGTCAAACAAGCTTTGTAACATTTAAAGATAACAAGAAATTGTTATCATGTGCTAAAAGCACACAAAAATACGTTTTTAAAGCAAAAAAAACATAAAATTTGAAATATACTTTTTTTTCTTCCTAATACTTTATTTTTTTCCTATCCAAACCACTGTTATACGTTTTATTTGTCAAAAAAAGTTGGCAACCCTAGAGTGAGGACGCCTATGTTCAACCCCGATGACCCAGTACTTTGGTTCGCGCAACTAGAAGGTCAGTTTACCCTATCCAATATAACTTCAGATTCAACCAAGTTCTACTTTGTTCTACGTTGTCGCAGATGGAACCACAGCATACGGCTGAAGTCAGAGAGACATAATTGTTACTCAACTGGTAAAAATGAAAAATTGAAATCGTAACTTATTAAACGCCTTACCGTATCTCAAGAGCGTAAGATTCAGCAGCTGTTAATGATGAACGAGGAGCTCACATTAGCAAATCAGAAAAGTTGCCTCAGGTGCAGAAGTAATTAAGTCTGCTGAAACGCTTACCGAGTTAAGAAACAAAGAGATTATTAAAACAAACAGGATTGAACAAAAAACCAAACAAGAAAGGAAACTGGAAGAAAGTGACTCGAAATTTTGATGAAAGTAGTAGCAATGATGCAGGCTCAGAAAATGAAATAACGTTCGAAGATAATAACAAACTAAAAATGAACAAAAAGCGCAAGAAAAAGATCCAGTGTTTAAATAGTTATAGAAGTTGTACTGAATGAGGTTTAGGAGACGAAGTACCATATGCAAATTCAGATGAAAGTATGTGGATGGAAGAAGAAAACGAGTCTAATAACTAAAGTAATAACGAAAAAAGTATCTCTGAAATTGATAGTTGGGCTATCATGGGTAATTGCAAAATATGTCTTAATAAACTTAAGGGGCTTAAGTATTATGTGGGTGTTGTGCAAAATAAATAGGCCGTCGTTGGGAGGAAAAATTAGTACGATGCGAAGGGCGGAACTTTTGCATGACCTATAATAGAAGATACTGATGAGGTTACTTATGAATTGTATCGTCAAAATATTACCTAATCCTGAAATAACCAAGCGCGGCATAATATATTTTGATTAAAAATTTTGAAATATGATTATATCCCTTAGGATAAAATAAAAAGCTTTGGTATTGATAGTTTTGATATTGATTGATCTCAGAATTATAATTAAATATGTAAGAAAATGTCCATAGTTAGAGGCCAGATGAAAAACCAACTTAACTCATACTCATCATCATCAGAAGATGAACAGCTCCAACTTGAAGGAGAATCAGATTACAGGATTGAACAGGGACAAGTATGTAACAATGAAAACGAAAGCGACAGTATTATTAAGTCGGAAAATAAAGATCTATCAATAATCTTATAAAAGGTGATTGGGCGATTGTAAATTTAATTTCTGAAAAAAAAAATATTTTACATAGATACGTAGGACAAATAGCTTAATAATATTGACAGCCCTACGTGCGAATTCGGATATGCTGAAGCTGATTTGAACCACATCATATTTGTTTGTTCTTGGCGCGACCAGTCGGCTTTTCTCGAAGGTCTTATTTCCCTTCATCCATATCCTGTTTACTTGCAACAATGGACCCACATGTATATTAACTTAAACAGCTTTTATCTTAAGTAATGATATTTTATATAAAAATTTAGACGATATGAACGTAAAAATAGGTAAATATCTTTTTCTTCCCCTTCTTTATCTATCTCTATAAGAATTGATCTTTTATTTTATAGATTACTTTCCATTCCTAAATTCCGTTCCAACCGATTTTTTTTTAAAAGATCCTAAATTAATTCCGCGTACCAGTTCCATCGTGAATTCTTAAAAAGCTGAAAATTTACTGGAAGGAAAAATTAAACACCTGATAGGCGATGTTTCAACACGGTGGAATTCTCAATTGCACATGTTTGAAAGGTTTGTTTTAGCAGGACATTGGGTGGCATTTTGTTAAATCACCCTAATGCATCGCCTATGATTCAAGCTAGTGAAATTGCTGTATTGAAAGAGGTGGTAAAAATGCTTAAACCGTTTGAATAAGTAAGCGAGCAGACGTGTAGTGAAAAATATGTCAGCGCAAGCAATTTTATGATTAAGTGCTTGAAAGCTAGCCATTCCTATGATTAAGTGTTTGAAACAGTATTTGGAAAAAACAGATCCATCACATGATTTGGCCATCCAATTATAATGTTCAAAATAAATAAATACAATATAAATAAAATTATATTGAATTATAAAGTAAATTAAAATAAAATCTTGAAGATATGACAGATAAATACAGTTGTGCCCAGCAACAAATAGGGGAGCACATATTGGCCATGGATGAGGTTCTGCTACTGTCTCAATACAATGAACAACGCTTCTTGTCATTTACCAACAATTGCCAGTGTGGTTTTAATGGGACAAATGCGGAACCTCCATTGTTATCATGTGAGCCCAGTGTGCAGAGTGACAGTTTCATAGAAAAAGTCAGTGTAAATAAAAGTGAAATTCTGTTATTTAGTGATGATATTGGGAAAAATATTGGTACTAAATTATATCAGTCCTCAAAATTGTAACAAATCATTGTATGCCCGGAGCCACCCCTGTAACCATTTTCAACAAAGTCTTGTGTGGAAATTACACAAATAACACAACTTTAATATTGCTTTTTGGGAGAAGGGGAAATGTAGGACAAAATTAATTGTTGTCATTTATTGATAAATTAAAATCACTTAATGTAGAGAATATTGTCTTGTATACATTTCCTTACATCAAAGGTGCACCAAAGGAAAATAAAATTTGATATAAGTTAAACATGCTGTTGCACAATACTTTAACTACTAATAATATACAATTAAATTGTGACTTAGGTACTCTACCTAATTTAATGGACATAAATTGTATATTTAAAAATAAGTATGTATTGACAAAGGATAGGTTCCGCCTACCTAATTATTATTTACAATAAATAATTGTTATTGTTAAAATTAAGATGTAGGAAATACGCACTATCCCATCCGATATTTTAAACATTGTACCTAAATTCGATGGAGATCAAAAGTTATTAAATTTATTTTTAAGAAAGAGTGAATATGTTATTAGAGCTTTTAGATCAGAGCCTCCAAATGTAGCGCAAGACATATATATATTTCACGCTATTACAAGCCGTCTAAGAGGCAAGGCGAGTCATTTAATTAGTGAACGACAAGATAATAATTGGGCTGAGTTAAAAACAATTCTTATCCAACATTTGATTCAAAAGAATTTGATTCCATTTGAGAACATTATCGGATTCGCGTCCGATGGCGCAAGTACAATGATGGGACTTAATAATTCTATAGCTTCGAGATTCATTGAAAAGTGCCCTGGCATCTATATTGTCAAGTGCCTACGCCACTCAATGCATTTTTGTTCCAGTAATGCTTCTACGACATTGCCACGGAGTTGCGAAGATCTCGTACGCAATGTGTATGGTGAATTTAAGAACAGCGCAAAACGACAGCATTTGTTCTGACAATTTCAAACATTTCTAGACATCGACGTCTACAAAATCCTTCGCCCAGCACAAACGCGTTGGTTACTGTTGAAAGCGGTCGTTAAGGATTATCGAATATCGGCTTGATTTAGAACTATATTTTAGAGAGCAAATCCTGACGGTTCGGTTGAAATCCGTTGTCCAAACTCTCAGCAATCCAATCATCAAACTTCTTTATCTCTTTCTAGTCTTCGTTCTACCAAAATTCACGAAATTTAATTAATTGTTTCAGTGATCGTCTGTTGTCGTTACGAGCCTGCACGATAAAACGCCTAGAAACTATCAAAAGCTGTTGGAATTGTACATGTCCAAGGATTATTTCCATCCAACCGAATTAATCGAGGTAGATCCGTCCAACAAGACACATCGTTTACGTCCAGAATTAGAGAAGAAAGAAGAAAACCTTGGCATTGAAGTTCAAAAAATGTTGGTACACGTCGAGATTCGGAACAATGAGAAACTCAAATCAGATTTACGTCCAGAAAACAAGGACCTTGGCATTGAAGTTCGAAAAATGTTGGAACAAGTTGAGATTCGGAACAATGAGAAGCTCAAATCAGATTTACGTCCAGAAAACAAGGACCTTGGCCTTAGTTCGAAAAATGTTGGAACACGTTGAGATTCGAAACAATGAGAAGCTCAAATCAGATTTTGCCGCGACTTGTATCAATTTTCTCATAGAAGGCTGTAAAAAAATCAAGAAACGTTTCAATTTTTCAAAATTAGAAAAAAAATGTTTCAAAATTGACGAATCTGAATCCACCGAAGGCAATACATTAAGAAGAACGAGAGACGATAGTATGCCAAGTTTGCTGCCAACGATGAGGTATCGTATCTGTAAAAATGTATTAGTTTTTGATACTATATAGCGCTATATAAAATGTCCTGCATACTTATTTTTAACTTCTTTGGTTACAGATACGATACGCAGAAATCAATGTAGCTGCCTTACAGCCTGGCCACGGGACATTCGCCCATGCGAATATTTGCGCGGTGCGAACGGCGAAGCGTCTAGCGACTGAAATAAACTCATAGCAATGTACTAATCAAGCCACGCGCAACGGCGACCGTCGATGCGACCGGCGAAATGTACCGAGCAAACCGCGCGGGCGACTAGCGTCGCGGCGGGTGAGCGAAACAAAGGCATGAATCAGTACGGCGCGAGCCACGGAGGCGAGCGGCAGTCGCGGCGAATAGAGCAGGGATTAAATAAGTTTAGTCAGTCGTATTCGCGGCGAAAATGAATACAGAGTTTTTTATTACTGAAATACTGGCTAGACCAGCTATTTGGAAGTATGGCCACCCACGGCATAAATTTAAGCATGTAGTAAAGAGATTGTGGGAAGAAATAAAAATATAATCGATGGTTACAATACTCATTCTGGTATACAAAAAAAAAATTTCTGGATATATTCTGTATTTCTCGTACTTTTTGTGGAATTCCTTATCCTTTTCTACGCGACATGACGTTTGCTTTGAGTGAAGTGTGCCTGTTGCTTTATTCTGTGTTTTGCGATCAGCTGTATTTGACGTTAGATTACTACGTAAAAATGACTACTTTTGTCATTCTAGTTCTTGAATAATTTATTATCAAGACTTATTTCTAGACTCAAATTGTCTACAGTTTCACGTCTATTTAAGTAAGGTCGAATCCACAATCTCTTCTTTTTCTGTTTATTTTTTAAAACAATAAAAGCTGCTGCGATCAGTGTGATTTCGTCAGCCATTGTTGCCGGTTTGTGTGGCCCGTTTAGGAGTCTGCATCTGCATGTTTAAAAATTGATTGCTTTTTATGTCACAAAAAATTATTAAATCCATCATGCATGAAACAAGATGAAAAAATACTACTAATATTAATCATAATGATCTCATTAATTCTGATCACAACTATAATTGTAATGATTTTAAAATTGACCAAAGAAAAGATTCCAAAGATTAAATCTAAAATGCCCAATATGAGGTCATTCAGAGGAAAAATTTTCCCTTCATTTAAACGTAAAAGGGATGAAGATGAAGGAGGAGATCCTGAAGGTTTATTGAAGGAAAGGAGGGAAGGAAATGTGTTGAGTGGCATTCTAGTTAAAAATAGTAATTCCATCCCTTCATTAGAACATGTACCAAAACCATTTATTAGAAGATCAGTTTACTCTTTCAGATTTTATACACCATCACATCATTATGATGGTAATAATAAAAGATCTAAATTATCCATATGTTGCTTATTGCTTATAATGCTTGGAACAAACATGGGTCATGCTTGTTCAGATAGCACTACTATGGTTTCTGATCAAAAAGAGTGTTTTTCAGATTGCTTCAATAATGCTGTTTGCAAAGTTTCTTCAACTTTAAGAATCTCTGGACCACCAGTTGGTCAAACCACTTGTATAAATATAATGGATAAAGATGATAACACTAATGGATATATATCAATAAAAGTTCTTTCTAATAATTACTATTGTTCTAAAAATGCTTTATATAAAACAGTACAAGCAAAAGTGAACCCCAAAAGTAGTAGTCATTGTCCAGGATCTGGTGCTTGCCCTTCATGGAGGTCCTGCACTTCATTTATGAATTCAAGTGGAATGCAACATGAAATGTTCCCAAATACAATTAACAAATTATCATTATTTGATTGTTTCACTCCTGGTGGATGTGCAGGTAATGGTTGCATGAGATGTGATAATGGTTGCAGTTTTCATAGTGTTGAACTTTTAAATGCTGATGATATTATATATGATGTTTTTGAATGCCCTAATTGGATTCCACATCTATCTATTGAAGTCAAATTCCATAACCTCCCTGGTATGAATGACTTTGAGGCAACTTTAATAGGAGCAGAGCCCTATTCAGAAGAAAATCTAAAGTTAACAAAAATTGCTGATTCAACACCAATTAATAATAATGACTTTTGCCTGGTTAGGGATGATAAAGCTATATACTATTCAAGTTGTCAAAAATCCACTGAGCTATTTTCAGGCTCAATTGGTGAAATTCGTTGTCCAACAAATGAAGATGCTTTGGGGTTAACTGATAAATGCTTAATAGCAAAAAATACTGTTAGAATTAAAAGTATAAATTGGGATGCAATTGTAACAAACAATCAAATAAACATAAAGAAAGCTATACAAAGTCAAAGGCTCCCTAGTCTACATGGTTCTGCAATGATAGATAGTTTTCCAGATGGTACTGTGATAATGAAAAACACAGTTGCAGAGACATATGAAATTCAAGTTTCCATTAAGAACCTGGAAATAAGTATTAGGAAAGAAAAAAAGTACTTGCTCTGGTGAGCATGAACAATATAAACCACCATTCCCAAGGCTGAGACAATTTAATACAAAAACAATTGAGATACTTATACTATTTTTGAATCATAACGCTACCGCGATTCAAGGAACCACAGGCGACATCTATTGGTTCAACATAAAACTATAATAATTTAAACATACCGCGATTCAAGGAACCACAGGCGACATCTATTTGTTGAACATATAACTATAATTGTTTAAACATACCGCCCACCATGGACAGAATGTACATCACCTCCGCCCACCGTGAATAAACTGTAAACAAGTAATCGTAGTGGACTGTAATAGAGTTTAAAAAGTTCGTGCAAGCCTTTCACAGTAGCTAGAAGTGACAACATACCTATTATATTATACAACAACAAAAATAAAATAAAAAACGATAACATCAGATTTACCCAAATATCTTACTTCGTCACAGGCAATACACATAATTTGGTTATAGGACGCTTAACGATAACATCCTTACATTTAAGACTAACAACCATCGTAATATTGTCCGAACCTGCATGTTTATCCGTTATAATCCCTAATAACCATTTTGCTGGAGGAAGATTATCCTCTCGAACTAAAACAATATCACCAACATTCGGTTCTGGTTTTTGATGTGCCCATTTGTAACGTTGCATGAACTGCGTGAGATATTCATTTGACCACCTACGCCAAAAATGCTGCAGCAACTGTTGCGTTAGCTGCCAGCGCTTTAGTGAAGAAACCGATGAGGTTTCATAATTGCTGTCCGGCACCAAAACCAATGGCTCGCCGACAAGAAAATGTCCTGGGGTAAGAGGTGTAGGATCTTGTGAGTTCACACTTAATTGTGACAATGGTCTGGAATTGAGACAGGCTTCTATTTGGTACAGAAGAGTGCTCATCTCTTCAAAGGTCAACGTCTGAGTACCTATCACTCGTTTTAGGTGGTGTTTGGTGGATTTTATTCCAGCCTCCCATAATCCACCGAAATGTGGAGCATGAGGTGGAATAAAATGCCATGTTGTTCCATTTGTTGCCAAACTCTCAGCAATTTCTATTGCCAATGATGACTTTTCTTGGGACCACAATGTTTTGAGTTCGCGTGCGGCACCTACAAAATTTGTACCATTATCACTGTATAGGTCAGCGCAATGCCCACGTCTGGCCACGAAACGCTTGAATGCGGCCAAAAAACCTTGCGCTGTAAGGTCGCTTGCAACCTCCAAATGTACTGCTCTAGTTGCCATACACACAAACAAACATACATATCCTTTGTATGCTCGATGGCCTCTACCTTTGGATGTTCTTATTAAAATAGGACCCGCATAATCCAGGCCGCTTCGATGAAAAGGACGAATTGGAGTTACACGTGAAGGAGGTAACTGTCCCATAAGTTGGTCTCTTGCTTGTGCAGCGTATCGTACACATCGAACACAATTTCGAACGAATAACTTTGTACGAGTTTTAATATCTAAAATCCAGTATTTCAAGTAAATTATTTGGTAATTCTTGATCCCATCCGATGCCTGAAAGCCACAATTTTTGTATTAATATTTTTGCTTTCACAATTGCTGGAGCTATCCATCCCATTGGGTCGTATAGCCTTGCAATATCCGATATAACCTTTCTTTTTGTTACAGGTATGCTGATTGGAGGTAGTTGCACGGAGTATTCGAAGTCGTCGTTTCGTCGGTTCCAGGTAAGTCTTAAAATTTTAACTATTTCATTTGATTTCAGTTCTACATTAATATCTAAGTCTAAACCTTCTTTATTTATTTCCTTTAGCAGATTTTCATCATTGCTTGACCACTTTTGGAGTTCGAAGCCGCCTGTCTTTATAGTACGAGATCCGACCGCGTGATTTATACGTTCATATGTTTGATTAATAAAATATAATTTTTATCCATATTTATAACTAAACCAATGCAGATCCGCAAAGGTGGCCATCCAAATTTGGCCGCAATTAATTTTAATTAAAATGTAATTAATTATTTATTTTTGAACAATTACGTTCACTTGTAATTGTTAAAAAATATATTTCATTAGAAAGAAATATACCTGAGATACCGAGAAAGTTCAAGGTGCCATCCCTCACTTGGCCGCAACCTAATGTCAGCCAGGTGTAAACAGGTATAATTTCGTTAAATATATACGTTCATAATGTATTATCATGTTATACATACCAAATTGAAGATTAATTCTTTCCCTACATGATGAGATATAGGTGCCTATGCAAAAATGCCCGCAAATAGTGACTGCCAACGATTAAAGATAAATAAAAGCGAGAGAAACTTAAGATAAACACCCCATGTCGAATAAAGATAGAGCATCCCAGCTGCTT